TATACCGATACGTTTGGCATGTGCTTAATAATGTATCCATTCTTATGATTAATCAACTTTGATTCTCATCAATTGCAGCCCCACTGCCCCACTATAAGGATGCTCGTAGACCCTACTCCGGTAATTACTTTATCTCTTCTTCTGCCGTTTTTCTTGGCTAATTAAATTAATGAACGGATGCTCTAATGAATGTCGTACTTAGTCATTGGTGTAGAATCCTCTTTATTTCAACATGTGGCCAAACTGCTCCCTAAACTTAATAAAGCATAAGATCCATCCTTTATTTTTTTTTCTTAATTACACTGTGTATCTCATCTCCAGTGCTAAATTCTACACTTCCCATCCTTTCAAACCTCTTTCTACGATGCATGTTGAATCTTCATGATTATTCAACTTTCTAAAAGAGGCAATGATACTAACTTTGTTTACTCAAAACTTTGGATTCAACTCGAGAGCATCTACAAGTCAACAACATAACCCAAGTGCCTGGCATATCTAGCCCTAGATACTCTTCATCTGCAATTGAAAGAGAAGAAAATCAGGAATCACCCACGAAGATCTGCAGAAAGATTGTTTCAATTCATCCACTGTTTTCCAATCAGCAAGTCTCGAAAACCTTTGGCTAGGCCCAAGAAACCAAGTTCAAACGAAGGACAAAGAATCCGTTTTAATTTTCAGTTTCCAGGATGGGCATGAGAGTAACGTATAAAGAACTCCCCACGCAGTGCATGCAATAAATTTAATCACCTTGCAAGTCATTTATAGCCCTTTTTTAGGGGGGAAAAGACACCATTTCAACGTGCGGACCAGCTGTGCTGTTTCTTGAAGATCTCTTTGAAGATCTTGTGCACGTTCTGCAGAATACGGTATCCCAACAATTTTCCGTATCTCCAGACTGTCGGTCATGTGTATTTCTAGGGTTCGAGAACAGTATTTCATCTGCAACATTAATAGTACGCTCTAAAAATAATGCTTGATCGACACGATATTTATTCCCCTTTTGATTGCAAAGCAACAAAAGGACTTTATCTTTTAAAAATCAAAGAAATTGCAGTCACATGTGCTACTTTTGTAGTAGGTTCTCCCATACCGAAAACGTTGTCATTTCTATGTGACACGCATGCGGTTTCTTTTTCATTCGGATTCCTCATCTGGAAATAGTCAGACAAAAAAAATTGATTTTAATATACCAATTATGGTTTCCTTCCTATTATTCAAAGGCACCGTCCATCGAAACGATCATCGAGGGAGCACAAAATTTTGTTTAATATTATGTTGGAATAATTTTTCATTGTAAGAAGATGGATGACTCCGTGATATACTCGATGCTTCGTGATTGTTTGAGTGGACAGCCGCGGTGATTCCAAGAACACTGAATCATCTTTCCCAAGATAACGTGAATGAATCCGATGTACCTTAAGACAATTAACTTGCTGTATTTTCTAGCAACTTATGTATTTCTTAATTGTTCTTGCATCATTTAATTCGTATCGTTTTATTTAGCTTAAATTTATCGAAAAGTAGCTTACTAATTTGCCTTTTTAATTGATACAGTTCATTAAAGAGGGTTAACAAAAAAGTTTAACTCAATAATTTTTCCTAAGAGTTAAAGCGTGAAAGCTTTTAGGTTTTTCTAGAAAATATCATACTTTGAGTTCTTTTCGTAGAATTCCGTCGCTAAAAGTTTGAGTTTTCAGGGAAAAGGTTGAATGTGTTCGAGTTTTACCAACCAAATTCATGCATTTTGTTTGCTCATTTGCAGAATGCATTCGACCTTCCGGCGACGAAATTCAATGTTTTAGCGACGTAGTTGTTTCATTGCTACCGTCGTTAGAACTTCCAGCGACATGGATATAACGATCAATAGTTGCGACGAATCCTTTCATCGCTAGAAGATACAGTGGCGGATTTTTGGCTTCAAATCTATTTCATCGCTAGAAGCTAAATTTCTTGTAGTTGGAGTGTATTTGTGACAAGATACAATTTTATGATGTTGTATATAGATGTTAGAAAATATTATATATATATATATATGTGTGTGTGTGTGTGTGTGTGTATGTGTGTGTGTGTGTGTGTGTGTGTGTGGGTGTGTGTCTTGGGAACGAGGATTGCATGGCAAACAAATTATTACCTCATATCTCGATCCGGAAAATTTCTTCATTTCCCGACGGAGTTAGATCCTTAGATTACAATCCACATATTTGACCACGTTACACGAAATTTTATAAGAAACCTAAGGTTTTTCTTTTTCCAAAGTTCTAGATTACATTAGAGTGTAGAATAGACAAAGTTTTGAGTTATCTATAGCACAAGTTTAATGAGCATGTCCATTATTATAACATTTTTGGTGTCAATACAAGTTTAATGAGACAAGTCTAATTCGATAGCATTAGTTCAAGGTGTTAATCCAGTAATTACAGCTTCTCCGCAGATTTGAATGTCTTCATTTATCGAAATCTACTAATTAAATCCATTATACAAGCGGACAAAAAGCATGACCATCACATGATAAACATGATATAATTGAAAAAGGTCCTCATGTGGGATAATTTTTTTTTTGAATCAAATGGAATAATTTGATTAAAAATGAAGGAATATAACGTTTTTCTCAAGTCTTGGAGAATATTAAAAAAATGTTTCTGCTTGGTCAGGCGTTTCAAGTCGAGAGCCGGGTTTCATATACTGTGTCGTGATGAAATTTCGAGCTAGGTTCCGAAATGATATAAAGATTAATATTAAAATAAGAATTTTCTGTTCTTTTGATTGATATAAATATAAAAAGAAAAGAAAAGAAAGAATGTATTCCGATGCAATGCATTATTTCTGCCTTAGGGGTTAGTACTGCGCTTATGCACTAGGAATTTTAGGTTGCTAGTAGGACGACGGACATATTACACAATCATTATTAGATGAGTGAAATGCGAGAAAACTCGATTAGGTATTACCTAAGTTCAAATACAAGTGCTATCTTACGTCGGTCTACATGCAAAATTTTCTTGACGCTTGTGCTAGATTAATACGGGAGATGGAATTGAAGTAAAGGAAGAGACCCTGCTCCATCTTTTGGATGCATCACATTGTCTTAGACACGCATTTGAACTTAGGTAAATGGAAATCTAAAGTCAAAACAACTTTTGAAAATTGAACATTGAATCTCTTGTAGAGTACGGATGTTGTACTTTCTGGAGCATTGAAAACGGAGCACTGATGATTTCTTCCACAAAAACAGACAAAAGAAAAGAAAAGAAATGCAGTCTGAATTACCGTTTTCTGTAATTTCACGTTTTTAGGTGAAAAAAAAGTTGGTAGAAATTTCCATGGGACTTTAGTCAAACTTGGAGGCAAAAATTTGACAAAATGATGCTGTTGGACAATTTCATACTCCTTTTAACCGTCACCTCACCTAGCTGTGTGTATCACATTGACAACATTATGTATGGAGAACGTGTGATATATTCATTCAATGTCCTGTTCGCTAGACCATTCTCCCAAAAAAACGTAAGGACAAGTTTGCCTCCACTAGTGTTAAACCCAAGATAATTGTATGAAGTTGCGAGAATGAGTTGCTGATGTTAAATGAGGTCTCGAGTTTGAACTCATGACTGAAATCCGATTCATAACCCGACCATATAATTTAAATGAGGAAAGTGTTTATCTGACTTTTGGTTTTACCAAATACGAAGCAACGAAAAATTTTGTTCGGAGTTGGATTCTTAGTATGAGTCGGCTATAAGGGATTTCTTATTTTAGATAAGAATATTATATATATATACGAGGTTGATTCTGGTTTTACCCTATTAGAGCAAATAAAAAGAGTATTAAGGCTTTCTCTCTATGGTTTTTCTGAGTGAGTTCTCTGCGAGAGATCGTGAGATAATACTTATGGGTTTTGTTTAGAATGTAATCTAGAGCTAAGAAACACTTGACTAATTGAGTGATTGTAAAATTTGTATTTCTTCAAATTCATTGGTGGATGGCTCTGTTCACGGAGTATATATCGAAACCCAGGCCAAATCACCTAAGTCTTTGGTGTCTTTATTGCTCCTCATTGATTTCTCTGGTAAATTCTTCTTCTCGTGTTAGACTTCTGTTACAATCCATTAGCTTCCGCAGTATTTCACAAATAGTCCCAATGAAGACCTTGAATCGAGTCATGACCGCCTTATTTTTACTTTTCGGTTGCTTCTCCTTAATAGATTTCGGGGAGAAGGATGTTCCATCTAACTTGTGTAATATTCATCGCAAGATAGTTTAGTCGCTAATATGCAAATAAGATCAGCCTTGATCTGAGGTAAAAACCCTAGTTGTGTGTGCAAATATGATAGAGAGAGAGTTACACTTACCGGTAATTTTACAATAATTAACGAGTCAAATTACATGCATATATTGGAGACACGAGATGGAAGCAAACAGAATGGAGATTACCACCACCTTCGTATAAAGGAATCAAATTAGACACTTCATTTAAAGTTTACCGATGTCGTTCACTTACAGATTTCAATTGCGATAGATTTACTACGATCGGTCTACATATGTGCGGACAGTCTGACATATCACTTAATAATCAATCTCGTAAACTAAACTTAATTTGTAATCCAATTGCATTGTGGCAGCATTTCCCCAGATTTTTTTTCGTAGTACCCAGCATGTCTTGATTTGAATTATAGTCTCACACTCGCTTCTTCTTTTTTTCTTTTGATCAATTAATGATGAATGCGTCATCATGGTCATCACGTCAATATTTAATCAAGTGAACTAACCACGCCACATGATTGGACAAAGCAACCATGTCACATGTATAATAATACTGATGAAGAAGATGAAGTACCAATATAGAAATGGACTTTAGTTTTTTTTTTTTTCTTCTAGTTAACTCCCCATAAAATGCGATTATATATACCGTGAAGCTTCAACTCTAGCCACCCAAAAACTGCTTTGCACGCACAAAACCCTAATCAGTCCCTCTATCCTCGCGTTATTCTCTGCTATTCAGGATCAACATGTACACAGCAAGTTCGACGATATCAGACTCAGATGCTGCTCTTTTAGAGTGCATTCGTCAGCATCTTCTCAACGACGACGACTTCGAAACCCTGGCGACAATCGCTGAAAATGTTCAACCCCATTGCCCAGATTCAAGCTTCGACGCATCTTCGTCGCCGGAGACAACGATGTCGTTCGAGGCGAATGATTACGACGACTTGGACATCTATCTCGACCCCCCGAAAGATGCCATCGGGTTCAAATCGCCCAGCTCGTCGAACGAGCAATCGGTCGTGGATTACGGAGACGTCAAACCGAACGAGGTGCTGCCCGGTGGGTATCACTATCGGGGAGTGAGGAGACGGCCCTGGGGGAAGTATGCGGCGGAGATTCGGGACCCGAAGAAGAACGGCGCGAGGAGGTGGCTCGGGACTTACCAGACGCCGCAGGGGGCTGCTTTGGCTTATGACCGGGCCGCGTTCGCGATGCGCGGAGCCAAGGCCAGGCTGAATTTCCCTCACCTGATCGGCTGCGACGAGGTGGATCCGGTGAGGGTCACTCGGAAGCGGCACCGCTCACCCAAGGCCGAGACCGGCTCGCCGGATCCGAAGTGGAGAAAGGAGGGCTTAACCGGCTCGGCCGGCGGCCCCGACCCCGACGAGCTTTATGGCTATGTCCTGTCGTTCCAATAGAGTGGGACTTGAAATGGACGAAATCGAAAGGTTTTGCGGTGATGATTTCTAGTCATTGTGTAATGAACATGCGTCAAGTATATAAATGATATGATATGTATGTTCTTTCTCTGGAGATTTGGCAACGGAATACTAATGATTTCTTCAACCAAGAAAAAGGAACATACGAAAAATTCATTTATGTCTGATTTTATTAATTTTTCTTTCTTTATTAGGGGACAAAAACTAATTAGAAGAAATTCCGACGGGGGGTTAGTCGAATTTTCTGTAATTTTCCATGCTTTCGCACTGAAAACTTTGCACTTATACTGCTTTGAGTCGCCACCTCAGATAATCATTTATATGAGAAAGAAATGTGTTGGAGAAGATGGGCATTGGGAACAAACATTTTGCGAGGTGGGGAAAAAGAAAATAAAACAAAATTTCAAACTTTTCCAAAAACAAAAGTTTCTAATTTTATTATATTTTTTTTACCACACCTCCCATTATTGTCCCCCTCCATATCTTTTGCAAGCAGACTATTACTGTCCTAACCTATTTTGTACAGGACCAAGGAAAACATCAAAAAACAATTTCTGTCTCATCAAAATTTAAAATACTAATTAAATTTTGAAAGATTATCCAAAAAATTACATGTCAATATTATATTGTAAAGAGTCAAAGTGTATCTGTTGAGCAATTTAGACTACGTAAAAAGCAAAAACAATAACCCTATCTAGACACGCCCTCCAAACTCCAAACCGTAAAGAGTCATTATTTTGTGTACTTGTGGACAAGTTATTGCCATTATTTTGCTTTTAGTAGTGCTAAGCGAATGATGGTTTATCAACTTATGTAACACTATCGTCGTTTGGTTCGCTCGATCAAGACCTTGAATCACGTTACGTTCGCTCGATCAAGACCTTGAATCACGTTACGACAGTCGAAATTCTTACTTTTATAGATACTTCTATGTCAAATCTTGGCGGATCGAAGGTTTATCTAATGTTTGAACGTTCATCTCGAAATATGAATATATAATTCTTTTTTGCTAATATAGAATATAACATGGCCCTACATTTCTTTCCTTGATCTTTTCTAAAAGATGAACGATACAAGGTACATGGAGAATATATTTCGTCTCCCAATATTTTTAGTGCTAACACAACCATTTGTCTCAAACATGCTCTTTTTCACAAGACAGAAATTTCTATTTGCTGATCCACTTTTAAAAAATACTAATTAATAATTTCGACCAAAAGGAATGACATAAACATTCAACACAAGATCCTCAACAATTCATTCTCATAAGAGAAAAGAACAAGAGCATAAAAATCAGTGCATGATGCCCAAATTGAAATAGATATTTCAAAAAGTGTCTCCAAATTACTTGTTAAGCAAAGCAAAATGATGAAAATATCGCAAAGTTTTATATACCGACTTTTCTCGTGATATATGAAAGTAAATATTACTTAAATTGAACATTTCCTTGCTACACGAGCTCGACAAGCACCAGAGGGACGCTCGTCGATATATGGTTGGCATATATCTTCAAATGTGAAACTTGTAATCACATATTACCTGGACGGAGGCTCCTAAGTTTAAATTTGATCTTCAACTATATAACCAAAAGCACAGTTTTATCTCTTGGTCGATTCTTACGAAAGAGATTTACAAGCAAGAAATAGACAGTCTGTAGAACATATGGCCATGTTTTGCCTTATCTCTCTCAAAGAAGAGCATTGAATCTCTTTGAACAATGTCTACTTTGCCATATCGGATCGACGTCGACCGGTTCTTTGTTGGATTTGTGCTGTGTGTCTATATACATATATGAATCTGCAGAACATAACATTCATATGTTTTTCGTGAGGACTTCAAAGTTCAAAGAGTGGTAGCTACGTGAAGGTTTAAAACTCTATGTAATGTTATGCTGATTTACGTCTATTTTTGTTACTGGGGTGCTTGTATATTTAGACACCGAGTGCTTACAAAGTTTCTCTTGTTGCAGTGGCATTTTTGTATTTTCAGTTAAGAAATCCCAAGCAGGTTTGTTCAAATTAGTCTTAGGAGTACAACATCATCACTTGTTTTTAGCAACATGATTGAAATGAAACTGTGGAACAACCTCTTAGAAATTCGTTATGCAGCATAAGAGCGGGGAATATCAGGGCTTTGCCGGCATATTGATCCTGCTCATTATCAATTCCACCCTCAGCTTCATTGAAGAAAACAATGCTGGTAACACAGCCGCAGCTCTAATGGCAAAGTTGGCCCCGAAAGCCGAGGTCTCTTCGTCTATCTCTGATAAAACCACAATTGACACCGCTGTCTCTAATAAGAAGATGTCACCCACCGACCAAAGGGCTTGTTCCAACTGTTTTGCTGCTCTTTTCAGGTCCTACGGAATGGGAAATGGAGCGAGGAAGGAGCTTCAGTGTTAGTTCCTGGGGACATAATTAGTATAAAACTAGGCGACATCATTCCTGCCAATGCACGCTTGCTTGAGGGGGATCCTCTGAAAATCGACCAGGTAATTTTTTGCAGTATTTTGAGTGGTGACCTTATCAATGTTGATTCATCTTACTTTTTTCTGATATCTAGTCCTTTTGGAATGGTCTTTATGATTCATCCTTAAGGACAGGTCCACAACTGATCAATAAGTTGTTACTACAAAAAAAAAAGACAGACAAATGTTGTGGCAAAGTCATAAAACAAATAAGCTTATCCTGGAAACCTATATGACTGCCCTTTTGCTCAGGCATTTTAACAACATGAGAAATCTCATAGGCCTAACTAATTGTCTTTCCTTAGTCTGCAAAAGGCAATAGAACATGGTTATACCGCTTTTTTTTATATCCAGAGGGAACTCAAAGTCTGTATAAAGCCTACCCAGTTTATAAAATATTCAATGCAACCAAGCCCAATGCCCGATTACAGGTCAAGATAAAAAGAAAGAATTCTAAGCAACTAGCAGATGATGCACTTCAAGGTTCTTCTTACATTGAAAAAGTGGATTACTTGAACAAGTCAAAGTATTGCAGATTTTCGTTAAGGATGCCGACAAGGATATGGTTGTCCTCGCAGCAAGAGCTTCTCGATTGGAGAACCAAGACGCCATCGATTCAGCAATAGTTAACATGTTGGCAGACCCTTAGGAGGTATCTTTGAATCTCTACATAGGATTTGTCTACAGCTGTTGTTGAAGAAATGCTGCTTCTTATATCTTATTACTGCGAATCGCCTGAAGTTTTGTATGTTTTGTGTCGCTTCTTCATGTTAGGCACGATCAGGAGTCCAAGAAGTTCACTTTCTTCCGTTTAACCCTACCAACAAAAGGACCGCGCTCACATGCATTGATAGTGCTGGGAAGATGCATCGTGTGAGCAAAGGCGCACCGGAACAAGTAAGAGATTAGTGAAGTCGTTAGTTAAGAGCCAACAATGAGATGAGAAACTTGCAATTCGTGTCTACAAACACTTGGTGGTCATATTTTTGAGTAGATTGGCACACAAAAAACCGGAAATTGTGAAGAAGGTACATGCCATAATCGAGAAGTATGCAGAACGTGGACTGAGATCACTGGCCGTAGCCTGCCGGGTGATCAATCTGTCTCACTAGCTGTTTCTTTGCCCTGGAAGGCAATTTTAAAATACCTTTCGTAATGAAGTAATTCTAGACCTTGGCATGAGTGTTAAGATGATAACAGGTATCACACGACAGCCACATAAGCTTATGAGAATTGAATGTATTGGTGGATTTTCATTTAGAGGTCTGGAAAATTAATGAGATAAATATTGTTACTTCAACTCTGTTCACATTTCAGGTGACCAACTCGCAATTGCTAAAGAAACGGGAAGGCAACTTGGAATGGGGGTCCAACATGTACCCTTCCTCATCTCTCCTTGGGAATAGTAAGGATGAGGCGGTTGCAGCTCTCTCAATCGTTGAACTCATCAAGAATGCTGATGGTTTTGCTGGCATGTTCCCCGGTATGCCCTGTTGATTATCCTATCTGATCTTCATTGGACCCCCTATCATTCATATTTTCTTTACTCAATCCTACCTTCAGAACACAAGTATGAGATAGTGAAGAGACTGCAGGCACGAAAGCACATTTGCGGGATGACTGGCAATGGTGTGAATGACGCACCTGCCTTAAAGAAAGCCGATATTGGGATTGCTGTGGCTGAGTCCACGGATGCTGCCTGAAGTGCTTCTGATATAGTGCTCACAGAGCCTGGCTTGAGTGTGATCATCAGCGCCATCTTGACAAGTCGTGCTATTTTCCAAAGAATGAAAAATTATACGGTACATTATATTGTTGCAAATTAAAACATGCTTGAGAATCAAGTACACATATGGGAGGACTTGAGGTTCAGAAGAATTGACGTTCATTTCTTAAATCTTGCTCCATATATATGCTGCATCCGTCATCACACGTATAGTGGTAAGATTCTTTACTTTCCCTTGATGTTCTTGGAAGTTCATTACACATTTTTGTGGGTCAATCCAGTATCAATATGACTGTTATGTCGCAGCTCGGGTTTACGTTGCTTACGGTTTTCTGGAAATTTGACTTCCCACCTTTCACGGTTCTTGTGATTGCTATTCTTAATGATGGTGAGTTTTGGTATTCTTGTTCCCGACTGTTTTTGCTCAGGTTTGTGAGTGAGATGGTTTGTGTCAGCTTGTTTTTGCATTAATGTCGATGGCTCGACAGGTACCATCATGACGATATCGAAAGACAGAGTCAAGCCTTGTCCAAGGCCTGATAGCTGGAAACTAAACGAAATTTTCGCAACCAGGATCTTCCTTGGTGGATGCTTGGGTCTGACCAGAGTCATTTTCTTCTGGGAAGCTTACGAAACTAATTTCTTCGAGGTAATTGCCTGCTAAGTATTGGTATTAATTTCATGAAAGATAAGTGAGCTCTTCTTACCAATTACAGAATTTCACAGACACTTTTCGGCACTCTGGTGTAGTATCGACAAAATCTGCAAAAACCTAAGAGCTGACACGACTGGGAACACAACACTCCCTCTAATATGTGTATATTTTTCCTCGTATCTTGGACATTGAATCCACGTAACAGATTCATATGAGTGTACTGTACTCTCGAGAGAGATATGGTTGTTTTACTCTTTCTTGTTCTCTCAGCGTGTCGTATTCTTGCAGAGAAGTTTCGATGTTAGGGACCTTAACCAGCACCACTTTAATTTGTCGGACCAAGATGTTTCCAATCGGCTTAAGGGCATGATAGGGGATTTCAAGTATAGATTCGCTCCCGATTCAACCTGCAACATCGGTCAAATGAATCGTCAGGAGAATAATAGCTAGTTAAATTTAATCTTCGCCTGTGTATTTGTTCAACATAGGCTAATGTTAAAGTTGCTCTCAGGAAATTCAAGGTGCACTTCTAATTGGCTTGCTTAGCAGGTCCTTCAGTGCAAAATCTACCTTGCAAGTTGCAACAGGAGGTCTTTTCTGCAAAATCCTATGATATGCAATCCGAGTTTATGGCGCAGAGGTAAACCATGGAATCTGCAGGAATGTGAAGAATCATTCTTGCATTGGAAGTCCCGACTAAACTGGATGCAGCTAGGAGACAAGAACTCTAGTTTAAAAAGTGTGGCGAAAATACTGCTTTAACCGCGTCTAGAATGAACAAAATTTTACATGCTCGGAGGACATTTTGGCGAGTATGCATCATGTGATTTCTTGCTTTTCACGGTTCAAGGCATCATCATTCTTATGCAAGCGAACATGGAAGTTGTGCCGCTTGTGCGTATGTGAGAGGAAAGAGAGAATATACATGACTCCTGGCAACAGTTGATAACGTGCATTAGCATAGCCGACGAAAAAATATTCAACCTGTGACAATGACCGAAGACTCGTCCAGAGAAACAATAGCCACTAACAATGAATCTTCAGCCGTGTGCTCGTTAAATGATATTATGAATGAGAAAGTTTCTACCCTAATAGACTTAAAAACGAAATCTGAGTTGCACAGTCAAACTCTAGCATTGCCTGAATCATTACTGGTCGTTGCAGTACTGTCGGAAATTCGAGAGCGAGAAACAAGACATCTCTACATTGGAAATAATGTTTTGACTGTAATTTTAGCAGTTATGCAATTGTCACATACCGTGATTGTCCTATCTCGTGCCCTTGTGAGTGGAGCTTGGTGGCATCGGAGTGAAGAGTGAGTGATGAGAGAGGATGATACAACTGGTTCGCGAGAGTGGCGTCAAGGCTTTGTGTTGGGAGTTTTAGGTAAAAATGAATATACTATTACGAGCTTTGAAGGCGGGTTGGCCTCCTGTGCACAAACTGATCAGGGAGTTAATGCCGCTCTCCTGATGAGGCCATGGTAAGCCGAAATCAGTTGTTGTGCCTAAAGTGTTCTGCGTGTGTTGCTCGAGAGAGTGGATGTCTGAGCTAAGTTGGGCATTGTACTATCCGATACGAGAATGTTACTCACTGTATTGTTCTTAAAAACATCTATAGAAGTAAGGTTGGCCTAGTGTTCTCGGCTTACCAGGCGCCGCACGGGCCATTTCCTAGCGAAGGATCTGCCAGCCCGTGACACAATCCTCTTTCTCTCTCACGCACAATGGAAAGGAAGTTTCAAGTCAAGAATCAGAAGATGGACATATGAGAAGCCTCTCTCTCTCTCTCTCTCTCTCTCTCTCTCTCTCTCTCTCTCTCTCTCTCTCTCTCTCTCTCTCTCTCTCTCTCTCTCTCTCTCTCTCTCTCTCTCTCTCTCTCTCTCTCTCTCTCTCTCACAGCATACTTGGAGATTGGGACTCTGAAAAAAGGATACTTTGCTTAAAGTCATCGAGGAAAACAACAAGCCATCCCATTGTTCTTTTCTAATATATACCAATGTCCACAAATCCTCGCCATGTCCAAGGTATTCTGCAATAATGGGGATGTTCATGAGCTTCTTGGGGAAAGGTAAGTGATCTTGTTCCATTGATGGACAGATCTTCATTGATTATGACTTTTCGAACCATAACTTTCATGTCCTCTTTCATTAATCACTACTTTTCGAAACTTAATTCTTTCTTATTGTGTGTACTCTATTATATTCTGCTCTTCACATCTTACCATCACAACTCGATTCTAGACAAGATTTCACAGGTGCTTTTAAGAAGAAATGATTCGAGATTACCCTTGAGCTTTTCTCTTTTCTATATTTCTTCATAGGAGGGCCGACGCCGTCGACGCAGATGGTTGGATTTCTGATGGGAACGCTTTATAAGCAATTCGTAGATAAGGATATCACAAACTTTGAGGAATTCCACATTGCTGTTCTCGACATTTTTAAGTAAGGTCATCTTCTCTATGTAGAAACAATTGAAATAGTCATGCAGGAGCTCAAAATATCAAACCTATGCAGCACTTTCAATTCGGCATTGCCTGGCAAGCATTTGGACGTTCCGTCGCTAATCAAAGTAGAGGTATGGAATTGTCGGGAGAGAGTTACGTGTTCATGACATACATCATTTATGAATAAGCATGCCTTGATTGTCCATTCGTTTGACCCCTTTCAATGTTCACTAGATTTCTGTTCATCCTTTTAGCCTTTCAAACTGTACATCAGACAGGTCAAAAGGCTGCTGGTTTAGGCTTCTGATGTATGCGAAACATCATGCAGGAATGCTTTAAAGAGTGGAAAGAAGCAACCAAGGAGACAAAGAGAAAGAAGGTCTTTGTAAATTTCATGACAAAGAACGTCAATCTCAATAAGCTCGATGACTACACAGTCCTCAGCGGAGTACTAACGCCACCTGTGGCTATGGCGGCCAAGAGGGCCGGAGAGAATGTGCCACAGCTGAAGGTTATAAAGGCCATCCCCGATGTTGTTTTCGTGCCATCGGCCACTGTTTTAGCCCTCATCTCCGTTAAGCTGTCTCGAAGAATTTTACTCAAGAATATAGCCTCCCCAGAGTCGCAAAATTAAGGACTTCGAATGCATGTGTGACTAAATAAACAAGACAAGTTATTGATTGGAATTTTTTCTCATGTCATTTTCAAATGTGCCGATAATAAATCACTAATGAGGTTATCATAATCTGCAAGCACTGTTGCTTTTCCAAACGTTTCCTGCCGATATATCCAGAGATGTACTCAAACGGACAGCATAAGATATTAATAGCACAAGCCTCAGATTTGTAATGCTCAAAAGTGCTGATCAACTTAAAAGAGTGTAATCAAGAGGAAACCCAGGTGAAATCAAATTTGTTTCTACTCGCTCTCCACAGTGCGTGTAAAAGAAATTATGCAGCAACATTTCGACAATTCGAAGATTAAATATCGCTAGCTCGACTAAGTAGAAATATCCTAGGATCAAATCTCACTTCGTGAATTACCACTCAAAGATATCATGAAAAAAATCATCGATGACAGTAAAAATTATAAAACATAACTTCAATCAATCATTTGAACCCCGAAAACGTAAAGAAAGGGCATAATACTCCAGGTAAAGAAAAACAAGACCTATTTGATTCATGTTCATCTTCCAAATAAACAGTAAAGTGTTTCCAGTTCCACCAGAGACTATAAAATCCATAGGGGAAGAGGGAGAGGATGAACAGAGAATATACAATTAGAATACGCAGATCTATACAACTCACCTTTTTAGAAGCAGAAACTATATAAACTTTCCTTCCTCTCTCACAAACACTTCTCCAACTGTTACAACTATCTGCAGCCTCACCTAACCCAAGGATTTCCGGCTCCCTAGACGCATAGCTACCCGCCTACTTCGCCGCCTCCGTTTGCTACGTACATAGGTCTTGCAAATTGGGGGAGATTTCAAACTAGATCCTTTTCCAAAAGAGTCGGTTTCAGATTTCAGAGACGAAAACAGAGAATCGGTTTCAGTTTCATGCAGTTCCAATGGTTCCTCGGGCTTCTTCTCCATGATGAGCTGATTTCTGAACTCTAATACATCTAGTGATTTTTCCTCCACTGCCTGCTCATTCATCAGAATTTCTTCCTCAGTCTGAAAGTGCCGAGAAAATCATTTCACTTTTCTATCAGAAACACTAATACCAAATAGACTCAGCATACAGATCATATTCTGCTAATCGACTTAAAAGTTAAAATAAAAAAGTAATAATGAAGAGGCGGATAGATTTGAGAGAGAGAGAGAGAGTATACAAGAAGGATTACATCCAGTTTGACAAGGTTTATTCCTCCTATTTGCCATTACTAGTTCTCCTAATTAAACATGTAGTAAATACAGACCCATATCAACAGCATAACTTGAGAGAATTAAGAAAATCCAAGAACTGCATTGAAAAGGACTAAACTAAAGGCTTTTCATTAGGAGTTTTGAAATAAGAACCAAACACACAGGTTAATGCAAACACAAGCTATAATTACTTACATTATCACGAGAAACCCCTCTAAATGTCTGATTTGTGCTCTCAATGATATCGGGCAAAGGAGTCGCCTCTCCGAGTGTTGAATTTGCAGTTTCGGGCATAAGTATATCATCTACATTGTGGTTCGATACTTGCAGAGACGCTGTAAAGACAGATTTACAAGAAGATACAAGTCCATTCCCATGATGAGAAGCTTGTTTTTTATCAGAGCTGGTCAACTCATCTTTTGGTGTTAGCATGCACAACCTATTAACTGAAGAGAACTTTCCAGGATTTTCACTTAACACCTTATCCATTCGTGCTTTCAACTTGCATATGTAAGACTTCGCTGTCTCAATCTTAGCAAGTATTTGCTCCAGGGAATTTGCCCCATCTCCAAAATCAAGTGAATCACCAATAGTATCACCTACTACCCAAAAGACAGTAGGGAAACATTCATCAGAAAAAAAGAACTCAAACAAGAAAGCTTTTGGAGGACAGCAATACTAAAAGCTAATGCAAATTATCTCGAACACCAACTCCTCAAGTCAATTTGGCATTACAGTGAAGCAACTCCATTAAAGACCATAATATAGGTAGCATAACATTAAATTAGAACTATAATTTCATTGCTATAATTCATTGAAAGCAGCAAAAATTACACACTCAAGTCTTCCACCAAGATAACACACAACATTATCTAGAGCGTGGATTGTGCGCCACGTGAGATGAAACGGAATGCAGAACATCCCTCATTGGAAATGTGCTACAGTCAGAATACGCTTCTCCTAATCATGTAGGGAAATGAATCATAACAAAGGGACTTCATGACATACTAAAATCAGGAACTTTTTGACTAAGTTTATTATTAGACGTGAATCTTATTGAAAGTGATCACATGAACGTATGAGGACAATTTCCATATAGGAAAATTGGAAGCATTGATTGAGTGCTTTTGGATCTCTAGAATGCCACAAATTGAAACGCTCATTCCAAATTATGCATTCTACGAGGAGATATCTGGTATCTTTCTAAGAAGAGTCTTCTTTTTTACTTTTGGGATATTAAGTATGATGATGAAGATAAATGATGAGTGCATAAGAATACACTCACTGGTAACATATTTCAACAAAAGCTTCACTCCCAGATCTCGCATTAAGGTTGCTCCCCATTCGCTAAGGATCAAATTCCAGAAGTATGACTAGATAGTAAAGCTCCTAGGGAATAAGTCTTACAGGGTAAGCAACGCTAAATGGCCAGGCTTATATGGTTTTCCCTGTACACTCTTGTACAAGGCAGTAGCATCTCATATAATCTTTGTGGCCTCCATTTTCTTTTGATAGAAAAATTCATGGCTCTCCTAAGTCCTAATGTCACTTTCATTGAGATCCTCTCCTGGTGCATATCACCACCTAGAGTCTGTGTATACGCACTCTCGCTGTGAGTTCGCCGAAATTGCTTTTGTAGAAAATGAGATCATTCTTCATCATATGTTTTTCCATTGAGAAATGACATGAAAGCTATCACCATGTCTCTTACCAATATTTGCCTACATTTGGACATGCCTCATTTGCTGCAGATTATATTCTGGTAGAAAATAAAAGCACATCTACGAGACTCTTAAAAGTAGACCATTTACTAGTAGGTAAGGCAAAGTAACTGAACCCAAAAGAAAAGTTGGAAGCAAGAGAGATCCAAGCATTCTTTCCTCATCGAAATTACAGAAATTATTCGAGAAAAGCAGTTTCATATAATATGATTTACTGGAGCATGTTAGACCGATAGTTCTGATATAAGGAATCACAACAAACTGCTAAGTCGAACATTCAGTCTAAAATAAGGGAAGAAGGATACTAATTGAGTGATAATACAGATTCACTATCCACCAGAAGGGAATAGATGAACTTGATAGGCAAGGATCCAAGCACGTGCCACAACCACCTAATTTCCATCTTATATGATGAAGAGCAAGCGAGGAGGCTAGACAGAAGAAAAATCACCAGCTCTGAATTTCTCCTTAGATGGAAAAGATGAGTTTATCAACTGTGTAAGGGTTATCCGGCCTCAAATTTGGCCTGTTTGGTACAACTTATCAGCTACTTATTATTCTACATATGAATTTCCCTCAGCAAACCGTGCTCGTATTTTTCATTGCAAACAACTTTCCCCATGTGTGCATCTAAAAGATATATATGCTTCTACTTTTCAATATTTTGTTGGCTTGAAAGGCTAGTGTTTCGTGTCAAATCAAAGTCAATATGTGTTGCGAAATCTATAAAAAGTCAAAAGTTAAAAAGTAAAATCACCGCAATGCCAATCATTCCAAAATAACAATTATGTGCTACAAAGGGCACAAATAAAGTATATATACACCTTTCCATATCCTTCCCCACTTTTATTAGCAGAGCTTTACAGCTACCAAGTCAGAACATGCTAACGAACCTATCACTCATATTCTAAAGAATGATCTACACCAACAAAAATAAAAAGTACGGCCAAAGTGCCCGGATATCTTGCATTTCTTTGATACTCAACAGACATAAAAAAGAAAGTGCTTTAACATCTTACCTTGATTGCCACGACGAATTTCCATAGGAATATGATCCGCACGGGACTTTCTATCTACACGATCCGAAGGAAAAGATCAGAGCTTATGTCATTTGACTAAAACAAACGTGGCAAAGGCTTTAAATGTAGTACCAAAATAGGAGAACAAGTTGTGCTGTGACATATATGATGCTACATCCCGTGTCTCTTCAACTCTTTTTCTTTTTCTCCTGATCATGACTTTCTCTCTTGAGAGTTGACCGGGAAATGGAAGTGACTTTGCATTAAAATCTTGCGATTCTGGTCCATAGAAATTCAATTTCTTCTTTTGGTTGCACTCTGCCAGTTTCCTATCATACTTTCGTGCTTGGGAGTTCAACTCATTAATTCGCAGTTCGAGCCATTTACATCGCCACTTAAGAGGATGTATAAACCTTCTCCAGTGATCCGTCAGCTTCTTCCTGGAAAGAGTGACAAGAATAAAGACGAATGCATTAGTCCGACAATTACTGAAAGTGAAAATAACTGTACCCGAAGCAGTACACGCTATGTTCCTTCTATGGATGAATAATGTAAGATATCACTATCGATAACGTTCTAACCCTTTATTTCATATAAATTAAGGGAATTACCAACAGCCCGTGAATGTTAAAAATCCCTCACCCTGCATTTAAGTAATCAGCACACGGTGTACACTAACGGAATGAAAGTTTGGGTGGAGAATGGGAATCGTGATGCAGAGACGAGGAAAATTTCAAAATTTTGTGCATTTTCTCCCCTGATTTTCCTCTCCCCCTCCTCCCAAAAATAGCATAAACGATATGACAAACTGCCTCACCATTTTTAGTTTAGCCACAGAACGAGAAAATGCACAAACGCATTATCCCAAGAAGCATTCTCTGGATATTGTGTACAACCCAGGACGCGGTCAGAGCCCCCATGCAAAATATCACATTTTTGTCTATTATTCAACAACCTACCAGTATGCAAATGGTTGAGAAAAATCATCTTCCATAGGCCACGTCCATATAATTAATGAGCATTAAAATAATCATATAAAAGGAAAGCATAATTTTCTTGAAGGATGATTCACGTGAGCTCCTTTTCTTCGGAGTGGCATTAAGGCAGCTTTCTCTATTTTTATAAGCAGTTCTTTTCCTATCAAAAACTAGTCCTCTTCAATTCAAATGACAGGACTACAGGATGCCATAGGGAGACTTTCTCTAGATCTAGGTATGAGGGCAAAGATTATCAATGACAAGACACCAACATGCCTTCTATCGTCAGTATACTTTCGGTTTCCAGTCTATGAATCAAGATAAAAGTTAAAGAGCCATGCATCTTCACTAATAGAATAATGTACTTAACGGAGAGATTATTCAAGTTAAAGGAATCAAAAAGCTTCAAAGCGATCATTCTCAGATAGCAAGAACTTTGCGGCATCTTAACTTATCGGAAACAAAGATGCATATGGAGTTCAATAAATAGAACCAACATACTAGGACAATATATTCCATTCCAATACTGCAAACAGATAATATTAGTTTCCTTTATCATCAAATGAACTCAAATCTAAGCCGAGTAAAACAAGCCCAGCGCAAGTTTATGTTGCCAACTTGCTTGGAGATCATCCACCCTATAAGTGGCTAATCTAGACTATAATTACTGCATAAGATTATCATGTCAACCAACCCAAGCCCAATAGTAGCAGATTCACGAAACAAATATCTGCAACAGCTTGAAACATTGAAAGTAGATACATCAAGTGACAAACAAGCTTGATGCAGCCCATATACTGGGGTTTCAGGGGGGACGGGACTGATGTGGGTTTATCGTAAAATCAAGTACAGGGGAAAATGATAATAAAGCGCCTTCGTCTAGTTCGAATTATAAATCCAAAAGGGCTATGAAAACTAAAGTCGACGACTATACACTTTAATAAAACTGGCAAAGGATCACGGCAAATAACATGGGAATCTAATCACAAGAAGCGCCCACGGAATAATCAAGAAGTATCCAAGACCCTTCAAAGATTCGGTACGCAGTACCTTGTTGGATAGAGTTCGCTCTGTCCAGGACAAAGTAATCCCAGCATATTGCCACCAAGAAACTCTGACTCAACTTCACCATCATTCATAGCTAAATTATTCTCAAAGCCAGATGATGTATCACCAAATGAACTAGAATTCTCAGTCGTATCCCCTCGGCCACCTTCAATCGGGCCTTCCTTAGCCTGACTCTTGCGATCAATTATGTCGACATCGGAATTCCTGTCCCCATCGAGCATTTCCGCATCGCGCAAACCCCCCGCGCCGAAGCCGCCGTCCTCCTCACGGTTACCCAAGCAGCGCATCGCCTTAGCCCCGGGATCCTGGGCAACGGCTCCGCCCTCCTTGCCGGCCGACACGCTCGCCGCGGCCTCCGATCCGCCCATCGGAGCCTCCGACTTGGCCCGAGCTTCCAGGTCAGGACCCATCTCGCCCATAATCAAGCCAGCCGCTCCGGCGATCCCTCCCTCGCGCCTGCGCCAATTCAGCATCTAATCACGAATCACACAACCCCCCACACAATCAAGAAAGCCTCGAGGGAACCAAGAAACGCGGGGGCAACTGGTCTCCGCCAGTTCTAAACCCCTGTCCTACAACCTCTACCACAATCAAAGAAAACCCCATTGAAGCTGGATTGATCATATGATAAAGTAATCAATGGAACCTTCATGCTCATTCACAGGCATTATCCCCCCCCAGGAACGTTTCTTGCCCGGGGGGAAAAAAAGCCCATCAATCCCCCACAAACAGATATCGCCGGGAGACGGTTCCAGCATTCAAGAAAACCGGCGGAGAAGAAAACCCAGAAAGGCAAGAAACCGCGACGCGATGAACCGGTGGGGGGGGAAGAAGGACCGGCGGGTCACCACCGGGTCCCGCAAGGAAACCCCACCCCGAGAAAACCAAAAAACGGGAAGCAAATCAAGAAGACCGAAACCCTAGAACGGAGCGAGAGAAGGGAGGGGAGGGGAGGGGAGGGAGTATACTGGGGCTAGCCATGGCCGTCTCCTTCGAATCGGGGCGGCGGGGGCGCGCTGCTGGATGAGCTCCGAGGATCGCACGGTTCGTCAGCATTCAACGACGTAGCCAAAGCAGCAGCAGCCAGCAGCCAGCGGCAGGAAGAGAGAGGAAGTCAAAAGGGGCGTCGCGCTCTCCCGTTGGCGGTGCGGCAAAAATTACTTTTTTTTTATATATTAGAAAAAGCGGTGTTGAGGCCGGGTTCCACGTGGCCGAATTTGGTTGGCCAGGAGATGTTGCCGTGGATGGGAGCGCGCGAGCGGGCGAGGGGGGGATAGCATCATCGGCTGCGGTACGGACGACCAGGATTTTGGAGCGGATTTTAGAATTTTTTTTTTAAGTGATTTATTCCGCATTTCTCTCTTTTTTTTGTACTTTCAAAACTGTCTTTTTTTTTTTTTTTTACTTTACTTGCTGCTCAAGCATTTGGGATTTAATTTGTTGTGGGGACCCCTCCGTTCATTTTGCCAATTTCTTCGCGATTTACTTCGTTTTTTTCGCGCGGCGACCCGACGGTGTCGGTATTTTCGACTCGACTGATTTACTGTCCTTTTTTTTTCCTGGTGTGCGTGCTTCAGTTACAAGATGGCTGAGTATAGATCTCGAGGTCGCTCTCGGACAAGAAATTGCCCCATTCTCTACGTAATTGGGCATTTTGTCTCGCAATAAATTACGTTTAAATCATAAGAAAGCGGATGTCCTAAAAGAGATTATGCTTAATTCCATTAACGGCTACTGTATGGATGCTATAAAAGTTACACACTTTCCCCGTATGGTCACACCTAAGTTTCGGACCCATAATTTGAAGTAACCTAAGCTTTTTGAGATCGAGGATAGACCAAGAAGTTGTACCTGTGACCACCTGCTTACAAATCGGCTTCGTGGCCGCCAGGGCAATAGTCGTAGCAAACTCAAATATGGTTTTGGGTGCAATGACTACGATTGTTGCGTGGTCTATTTACACTAACATAGTCGTTCTTTAGGTGATGCTATAACCCCTAATCTGATTGTAATCTCCATAAATAGTGGAGAAATATATGTGCTACATTATTATCTCCACTGCTTCAACTTCACTGCTCTTCATGACTCGTGCAAAAGAGACTCCAATCACAATCTGATTTCATTTACTCGGATATAATAAAAACAGACGATGTGACCAATCCTTTTCATAAACTTAATAAGGTTCACCAAATACGCGATGCCGGTGTCGTTTAAGCCCTAGTTCACTTAGAAAAATCGGGAAAAGAGTGGATGAAAAACTTCAAATTATCATAAAAATACTTGGAAACGGTAGTTCTTCCTAAGGGTTCTGGGGACGTTGATGCATTGATCCGAAGCTCTTTGTTTAACAATTTGAAAAAAAGATCGAATTTTTAGCTCGGGTCAACTTCATCGCCACTCTTCAAGATGTAAAACACATGCAATTAACTAAATCATAGAGAGAGAGAGAAGGGGGCCATTGACAAACCTTCTAATGCCAAGAATCGCTGAGAACCAAGTGAAGAGTGAGAAAGAGCAAGCGACAATTCTCTCGTACCAAACAAAATTTTCTAGTATCAAGTTAAAGTGAAGACCGTAGGGTTGGCCAAATACTACAAATCTTCCAAACCCAAACTGAGGTTGGTAAGTACTTTAGCCTAATTAAAGTTAGCTGGTGCCATTAATTCTCTTCTCCTTTTTCATTTTAAATCGATCATATCCATTGCCATATCGGAAAAAAAAACAGCCCAGATTATTATTACTACTACTACTATATGGGGACGGGATTTGCTTAATATGGGCGAGTCTAATTCGGAAAATAATTCTATGTTAGGTCTATCTTAGTTAAGCGAAAATGAATGGAGTGTGTTTTGGGGGGAATGAAATCCTCCACGGTAAAGGCAATGGTGGTAGGTATAATGTCATGAAGTTAATTCCTTTCTCTCTTTTGAAATTTCGAGATTTCTTTCTTGATTAGTGCTGAACATGCTTGTTGAGGCAAAGAGTACATGGATTACAGTTTTTTACCTACCTTATAATCCAATTGTCCAATTTTATTTTTTTTCATTTTTGCCAAAATCTAGTTGTCTAATTGGCCAATGAGGTATGCATTCGGGTATGTTTTTAATTTTCATGAAAATGTTCAATTTTCAAGATACAAAATTTTATGTTGAATGAACGATAGGTTAATAAGATGATTCTAAAAGCAATCTTCTAGCTAAATTGGGGTTAGTAGTATTTGATCCAAAATAAAGCTGGGGCAATTAATTCTCTTATTTTTTTTAACAAATTTTTTTCTCGTTATCACTTATTTGATGGACGTTGAGCTCCTTTTGGCTGCTTCGGTCATTTCCTCTTTTGACTCTCGCGCGGCCCTTTCCCGTCTATAGCTACCGAGAGAGAAAGAAAGAGGGCCGGGCTCATTTTTAGCAACCGTTTGTGTCCGCCTAATAATTCATTACGAAAAATTTAGGTATCGACATCTAAAGAACTTGTCAATTTGTTCAATGCATTGTTCAACCACTAGGGCCATGAACAATTTGATGTTGACCCAATTCAATGGCTATAATAGGCGATGCGGGCTTCAGTTGAAACATTGTACGAGAGAATTTTTTTTGCTTTTCTCTATTAGTGTTTTCTCTCAAAGGCCCTTTTGACAAAATACCTAACTGGATTAGGACATTTTGATGATAGAGATAATTATGTGATCAAGTATTGGATGTAGCATTAGTTGTCGAGTTTTATGTTGTGTTGAGATTGTTTTTTTCCTGCTACGTAGCTACGTCACGTTAACTCACGAGCGTTACGAAGAAGGGGATGTAAGTGATGGAAAATGATGTTTCAAGTTAGGAGGCAATGGAGATGAACAATTTGTGCCTATATCTTGTCAAATCTCATCGGTTGGGTGAAGGTTGGCAGGAGATGTCGTTCTAGTTTCTATAAAGACAGGTATATGTACCTTCCAAAGCATCTCCATGTCTAGAGACTCAATTCTTGCTTTAATAGCAAGCCTGCACTTGAACATTGTATCTCTTTGCAGTTTTCAAACACGGATGTCAATAAGTTCTTTGCTTCTAGATGGTCACACTACAAGTATAGACCAAATGGATAGGTCGTGTTATAAATGGTCCAACCCAAATTGATCAATTTATCCGTTTCTGACCCATCTATTCGTAATGTAAATTTATAGACTCATACACGACCTCTATCTATATTGCGAAAATACTTTCGTATTTAACTCAATTTAGAACTTGTTTCTTATGATTTTTAAAAAAAAATTATATTGCTTAAGTACTTCCATGCAATACAAATCTAATGGACAATTTTTATAATTTAAAGAAATGAATTTTTTTGTATTTTTATTTTCTTTTCTCTTTTCCTTTTTCTTCTTCTACGTCGAGCGCCGGCCACTGGGCAAGGGACAGGACCCTTGCCGGACTTTGTAAAAAAAAAAACAAGAAAGAAAAAGAAACAAAAAAAAGAAAAAATATTATAAGAAAAAAGAAAAAATATAAAAATTGGCTTGACATCTTCAACTCCACCTTATATGGGTTAGTTATCAACCCATTTAAAACCCATTAAGTCGTTAGACAACCTATTTATGACCCACTTAAGCCGGTTTTTGAAACTTAAGACAACCCATTTACAACTCGCATCATCAAATATGGGTTAAATGGGTCTTAAACGCGTGTTGCCACCTCTAACTATGAGGCATCACTAGAGCGAAGGTGAGAATAAAGTCTTAAGTAGATTTTGGTCTCCCGTTATTAACACGTCATTCAATTTAGAAGTCTGATGTTTCGGAATATGGAAGGTTTATTTTGTTGTTGACACCTGAATTTTTGTCGATAATTCAAGCGTCTGGTCTTATAAAAGTGCAAAAATAGGAAATAGCAAAAAAAAAAAAAAAATGAAGAGAAGGAGTGGGCTTTTTCTGGTTCGTCGCCAATTCACGTAGGCCCTAGAAGCTGCTGCCCTGACCAGCCCAGGCCACACACTAAAACCGCCCCGGCTCATTAGACTGAAGCCCATTAAACACGAGGCCCATCAAAAGAGACGGCCCATTCATCAAAGCCCGGCCCATTCATACGCACCGGAGAGAGACGACGGAAAATCCTCCCGACGAGAAGAAGTCGAGAAAGCTTCTAGGCGTCGGGATTTCCCGGGCATCTTCTCCGGTTGTTCCAGAGTCGCCGTAGAGTTGCCGGTCATCCTAATGGTCATCTTCTCCGGTTGATCCGGCAATTCTGAACTTTTTATGCTCCTATGGACTAGTTAAAAAAAATTATTTTCTGTAGCATCTTGTATCGCACGAGGATCCAACCTCCTAACCAATTTACTTATTAATCAAAGTCATAGCCAAAATTCACCATAGAGATGAAGAGATCATGTTATCCCATATTAGAACTTTTACAAACATTATGAGCAAATAATCCCTTGCTGCTTGTTGCTTTATGCCGCCATGCCTCGCGACCCTCCCGAACAGGCGGGAAAATGACGGATTTAGAGGTAATGCCGAGTTTATTATGAGTTAGAGGATGAATCTGACCAAAATGAAAATATTAAAATAGTTGTGGCAAAAAATGATATTCAACAAGCCTTATGTTTGTTGATACTTCAAGCCTAACTATATAAAAGAAACAATAATGGTTAGGGCCAAAGACACTCGGGTTTACTCATTAGATATCAACAAATTGGATGAAATCTTCGACTAAGTTTTGAAAGATGGACTAATTAAATTAACTGAAGGTTAAAAAATTCCTAATAAAAAGATTTAGTAAACAGAAAATATTGCAAGCGGCACCATTCATGGGTCATAACACAGTTAGTTGTATTGTTTTCGGAAGACAATCCAAGAAGCAATTCGCCAAGGAAAAATTAAATTTGTCGATGACAATGGGGACATGATGACCATTGATTATCTAATTCGAATCGAATGATCAATGAATCTTCAATGCTTTTAAAAGGGAAATATGTTGATACAAAAAAAAATCCAATCGTCAAAGTGTCTAGTCGATAAAAAAATATTTTTCAAATTATTCATTTTTTGCGAAATAGATGCACCCTTAAATTTATTTCCAAAAATCTATGTAATTGATATCCAATGCATGGACCGTGATGCATGGCATATATTACTGAAAAATATGTGTGGATGGATGGATGGATGGATTAGTCAAATGTCAAGCTAGAAAAGAATCAACATTATCATTTTCCTTTTATCCTTCTAAGATCGAGGCATTGACTTTCGTCGGATTCTTATCATCATGCTCTTTGGAAACTTGGATTCAATTCACAAAAATCCAACTTCATGCGGAAAACTCGTCCCCAAGATGGTGATCAAGCACAGCATGAAGAAAACTTTCGCTGGTTTCATGGCAAGAATGACGGATCGAGAGTTGTCGTCCAACATGTCGAGGCCATTTTCATACTTGGAAGTGATTCGATGGCGCTAAGACAGGCTCGTACCAGAAGTCCAAAACTTGGAATTCCGAATGATGGAGTCCTAGGATGCTGACCCGAGTTGCGATGATACTCTTTCGATCTGTCTTTCGTGGGGATTTTTAACGTTCTTGAGGTGCAAGAGCAATGTCCCGTCCGCCGTACCAGCTCGACTAATCGCCCGACCTGAGCTTTACCGTAGAACTGCTCATTAGCGAAAAGAGAAGGAAAGAACATGGGCGAGGCATTCGCTCACGAGTGAAAACTAGCTACTAGACCATCGAAAGAGAGGGGAAGGAAATGTTCCGTAGGTTTGGACGAAGTTCTTGTGCCGACTGACAGATCATTCATAAGGCATCGGAAATTCCAGTTATGAAGCCACGACGAGAAAAATGAATAATGATGTTCGACCTCTTATGCATTTTTCTCGTCTTTAAAACAACTTTTCGAAACACTCGATGAGAAAACATGGAGTTGCTAGACTTCTCCTGTTTGCTCCAATATGACCTGTTAATAAAGGATTCTTCTCCAAATCCACTCTTCCTACTCTGCTGGTGCTTGCAAAGATGTGAATGTGGAGCGGAGCGGAAGAACTTTAGCATGTAAACTGCAATAGCCGAGCTGAGGGCTGTGGCTGTGGACCGGAAGGATTACGGCTCTCAGACTTGCGAGGTGAGGGCTAAAGGACTTTGGCCAGTTCAGCGCGTAACACAGCTGATTCAGACGGAGACGATTGGAACAAGTACAAATGCCTAAGAAAAGGGACATATCTACTTCTATACAGAAGGACCGGTGTAGTTAAAATCACAAGCACTACATACTGTAGGCAAAAGAAATGGAAATGAAGCATGTGAAACAAGGCAAAAAAGACTTTTGAGGAAATTGCTATGAAATGCATATGCACCTGGTTAGATAACTTCCATAGCAGTATAAATTTCTAATCTTTAACTATAATCGTCTTCACTGATGTCTATTCCTAATGATCCGTCGAGGGATGCTAACTTTTGATGCATAATCTGTGCCCTAAACTTGGCGATGAACTCGCCAGCCTTCTTATCGACCTCATTAGCTTCAGTTCCCGCATCACTGACAGAGTCAGACACGGCTTCTTTATCCAAGCTCCTTCGGAAATTTTCAGCCTCAGCCATCCACTCCTCTCTAGAGTTCACACGTTTGTTGTCACAATGATTCTTCTCGCCATTTCCACAATCAGCAAACTCTTGCTGCAAAACGGGACCGGAATTTCCCAGACTTGGTTCACCCAACCTACCGAAGCAGCTATGAGAACCTTCAGTTTTGTTTCCTTCCTTTCTCATACAAAACTGGTCTGTCCTTTCATGCTTCATTCCCACCTTGTCGTCTATGAAATTTCGACAGGTCTCTTCGTTATCAACTGTTTCTGTGCGCCTGCTCGATCTGAATGTTCTGACTGATTTTCCTCTCAGCGTACCTTTGATGTTCTTGTCGCGTGGTTTCACATCTAACTTCAGAGAACCCTGAGGTAACCCTCTTCTATACGATAAATTCTCTCTGCTGATCCCACCCGAGTCCTCATAATCACCCTTCAGTTTTCTCTGGCCATCCCCATCAAGAAAAGTATCGATACTGGTATAGCTACGAGAATGAGATCCACGAGGCGGAAGTTTATCACCCGAGAATTCCTGACTACTCTTCTCGCTCAAATCCATTCGCTCATTGTTTAACTTTTCGATACTAGTATAGCTACGAGAATGAGATCCAAGAGGTGGAAGTTTACCACCCGCGAATTCCTCGTATCTCTTCTCGCTGAAATCCATCCGCTCATCATTGAACTTTTCGATACTAGTATAGCTACGGGAATGAGATCCACGTGGCGGAAGTTTATGACCCAAGAATTCCTGGCTTCTCTTCTCACTCAAATCCATCCGCTCATCATTTAACTTTTCGAGCAGAATCTTCTCACATCTCTCAGGATGCAACATGTCTGGTGAAGCTTTCCTGTTCATCGAAGATGAATAGAACGTGCTTTTGCTGTCAAGCGAACCATGTATTACATTTTCGCCGTAATCGTCTTTATCTGCCAAGTTTCTCCCCATGCCCTTCTCATAGCCAGACACATTTGACGAACCGCAAACATCAAGTGGCGAAGCGGCATGTGAAGAACAGAACTGGTCCTTCTTGTTCCAAGGGTCCTCCATTTTTGGCAAGTCCGAAGAAGCGGAATGTGAGGGAGAGAGCTTGTCAGGTGAAGAGGAAGATGATGTTGAACCTGTATGCGAAGTTAAAGACCCGTGGGACCTAAAAGACCTCGATCTGTGATGCCTAGATCGAGATTCCTCAACTGAGACATGCCTAGCATGCAGGTTCTTCCCATCATTACCAAAACTCTCTCTAACCCCCAGCCTCCTGGGCCTCGACTGCCACGGTATCGACGAATCCGAAGGGCCAGCCGCAGTTTCGTCAAACTTCTTCTCCAAATTAACCGGACCCACATCACCAAAATCCCCATTGACACGGCCATCAGAGCTAATTGAAGGGTGCCCTGAACCAGAAACAGGACCAGATCCACCTCCATTCCTCGATTTTCGCCCACTCGGCTCCCCAGTTCGTGATCTCAGACTCCTAACAGGCAATCCCAGGGGCTTGCAATATTCATCGCCAAGATTAAAGTTTGGCTGAGCCACCACAACAATGGGCTCACACTGAAAACACTGAGAACTCCAGCTACTAACCACAGTATCACCATCCTCAGAGCTCAAAGATCCAGACTTTATCTCTTTCTCACTTGCAAAATCACATTCCTCACCGAAAGCAACCTTGGACTCACCTCGAGAGCAGTCCGCAGCGTCCCATTCCCACGCCTCCTGAGCCGGCCTCTGCACCTTCCCGTCAGACCCGCACGAGATCTCGTACCCGTCTTCGAAAATCGACAGGAAATCCCCCACCCGCGGCCCGCTCCACGCCGCCGCCGCCGCCGCCGCGCCGCGCCCCTCGGCGCTCTCGGGCCCGTCGCCGCCGCCGTCGTCCCCGAGGCTCCGGCGGCTGAACAGGCCGTACGACACGGCGACGCCGATGAAGAGGAGGTGGATGAGCTCCCAGAACTCGGCGAACACGCGGTGGCCGAGGAAGGCGGGAGCTTGGGAAGGGAAGAGAGGGACGGCGAGGAGGAGGAAGGCGAGGACGAGGGCCCGGAAGAGGGAGCGCGGGAGCGAGAGCGGGGAGGCGGCGGCGGCGGCGGCGGGGGGCTTCTGGTTGCCCGGCGGCGGGTTGAGGCTGCGGAGAGGGAGGCGCGGGTTGGTGTGGGAGGTGGGGATCGACATTGCTCGAGCGAGCTGAGATAAAGCTTGGAGCTTTGAGCTTGGAGCTTGAGCTCTGTATGTGTGTGTGTTGAAGTAGGTGAAGAAGAAGAAGAAGAAGAGGAGGGAGGAGGAGGAGAAGTGGAAGTGGAAGTGGAGATGGTGAAGGAAGGAAGACTTTGAAGCCAAGGCAAAGAAAAGACAAGGGAGGAGGAGGGGGCCACATCTTCCCAAAAAGTGGCAAGGACCGTTCGGTTCAAAAAGGACTCAAGCTAGTAATTTGGTTTTACACACTGAGCCAAAAAAAATTATCTTTAAAGAAGTTGAGTCCGATAGGACATCGGAAGTAGGACCGTGTAGCTGAATCGGACCACTCTGAAAATTGGTTCGGTTCTAAGCTCCCATTGGAATTGATCCGATTCCTGGTGTCAAGTGAAGAATCATTCGAAAACTGGACTGATCGGACCGAATTCGAAACCTTGGAATTAATCCAATTCCTGGTGTCAAGTGAAGAATCATTCGAAAACTGGATTGATCGGACTGAATTCGAAACCAGTTTCATGAAACCTAAAAACCACAGCTTTTTTCGTTGCATCTTTTTCTTTATCTCTTATTTCACATCTCATGTAGATGCTTCACGACTCTCCCTCTCTCTCACTCACAACTCACCAAGTCGAGTCCATGCACAACTCAACTCAAGCTCGACTTGACTCAGCTCGACTTGACTCAGCTCGACTCAAGCTCGATCGAGCATTAAATATACTACTCAATCACGATTAACTCGCAAATAAAACTCAAGCTTGGACTTTATAAGTTTAAACATTATGTAAATTAAGTATTTCCATTTTTTTTGTGAATATTTAAAACAAATAGTGAGAGCTTGATTAGGTTCGTGAGCTATCGAGCCGAGTATTGACAAAGCTCGAAGAAGTCGAGTCCGATAGGACATCGGAAGTAGGACCGTGTAGCTAAATCGGACCACTCTGAAAATTGGTTCGGTTCTAAGCTCCCATTGGAATTGATCCGATTCCTGGTGTCAAGTGAAGAATCATTCGAAAACTGGATTGATCGGACCGAATTCGAAACCTTGGAATTGATCCGATTCCTGGTGTCAAGTGAAGAATCATTCGAAAACTGGACCGATCGGACCGAATTCGAAACCAGTTTTATGAAACCTAAAAACCACAGCTTTTTTCGTTTCATCTTTTTCTTTATCTCTTATTTCACATCTCATGTAGATGCTTCACGACTCTCCCTCTCTCTCACTCACAACTCACCAAGTCGAGTCCATGCACAACTCAACTCAAGCTCGACTTGACTCAGCTCGACTCAAGCTCGATCGAGCATTAAATATACTACTCAATCACGATTAACTCGCAAATAAAACTCAAGCTTGGACTTTATAAGTTTAAACATTATGTAAATTAAGTATTTCCATTTTTTTTGTGAATATTTAAAACAAATAGTGAGAGCTTGATTAGGTTCGTGAGCTATCGAGCCGAGTATTGACAAAGCTCGAAGAAGTCGAGTCCGATAGGACATCGAAAGTAGGACCGTGTAACTAAGTCGGACCACTCTGAAAATTGGTTCGGTTCTAAGCTCCCATTGGAATTGATCCGATTCCTGGTGTCAAGTGAAGAATCATTCGAAAACTGGACTGATCGGACCGAATTTAAAACCAATTTCATGAAACCTAAAAACCTCAGCTTTTTTCGTTTCATCTTTTTTTTTATCTCTTATTTCACATCTCATGTAGATGCTTCATGACTCTCCCTCTCTTTCACTCACAACTCACCAAGTCGAGTCCATGCACAACTCAACTCAAGCTCGACTTGACTCAGCTCGACTCAAGCTCGATCGAGCATTAAATATACTACTCAATCACGATTAACTCGCAAATAAAACTCAAGCTTGGACTTTATAAGTTTAAACATTATGTAAATTAAGTATTTCCATTTTTTTTGTGAATATTTAAAACAAATAGTGAGAGCTTGATTAGGTTCGTGAGCTATCGAGCCGAGTATTGACAAAGCTCGAAGAAGTCGAGTCCGATAAGACATCAGAACTAGGACCGTGTAGCTGAATCGGACCACTCTGAAAATTGGTTCGGTTCTAAACTCCCATTGGAATTGATCCGATTCCTGGTGTCAAGTGAAGAATCATTCGAAAACTGGACTGATCGGACCGAATTCGAAACCAGTTTTATGAAACCTAAAAACCTCAGCTTTTTTCGTTTCATCTTTTTTTTTATCTCTTATTTCACATCTCATGTAGATGCTTCATGACTCTCCCTCTCTCTCACTCACAACTCACCAAGTCGAGTCCATGCACAACTCAACTCAAGCTCGACTTGACTCAGCTCGACTCAAGCTCGATCGAGCATTAAATATACTACTCAATCACGATTAACTCGCAAATAAAACTCAAGCTTGGACTTTATAAGTTTAAACATTATGTAAATTAAGTATTTCCATTTTTTTTGTGAATATTTAAAACAAATAGTGAGAGCTTGATTAGGTTCGTGAGCTATCGAGCCGAGTATTGACAAAGCTCGAAGAAGTCGAGTCCGATAAGACATCAGAACTAGGACCGTGTAGCTGAATCGGACCACTCTGAAAATTGGTTCGGTTCTAAGCTCCCATTGGAATTGATCCGATTCCTGGTGTCAAGTGAAGAATCATTCGAAAACTGGACTGATCGGACCGAATTTAAAACCAATTTCATGAAACCTAAAAACCTCAGCTTTTTTCGTTTCATCTTTTTTTTATCTCTTATTTCACATCTCATGTAGATGCTTCGTGACTCTCCCTCTCTTTCACTCACAACTCACCAAGTCGAGTCCATGCACAACTCAACTCAAGCTCGACTTGACTCAGCTCGACTCAAGCTCGATCGAGCATTAAATATACTACTCAATCACGATTAACTCGCAAATAAAACTCAAGCTTGGACTTTATAAGTTTAAACATTATGTAAATTAAGTAATTCCATTTTTTTGTGAATATTTAAAACAAATAGTGAGAGCTTGATTAGGTTCGTGAGCTATCGAGCCGAGTATTTAGAAATCATTTTTCTAAAAATAATTGTTTGTACCACCTACAAAAATGAATAAACAAAATTTTTTTCACCCTCCACAAAAAATATTTAGATATAAATTATTATCAATGATGAAAATAATTTTTACCGACTAATTATTTCAAATAATAATACAAGTGCTTATTTTTCAAATCATTCATATTTCTCAAAACAAACGAGCCTATGTTCGCGCATGACCGCTGTTAATTCGAAATTATTAAATATGTCCCAACTATATACCGCTTTTAATAAATTTTGTCGCATTTCAATTGGACGAAAATTTTCTACAACAAGCTTATGTGGTAAAATATTTTAATAAAAAAATTACGAGACATTATGTTGTGAGAGAGAAAAGGAAGGACGGGAAGTTCAGAGAGAGAGAGAGAGAGAGTTTCGAGCCATCTTCGCTTCTGATTCCTCCGTCGACGGCGACGGCGACGGCATCGCCGGAATGGCGGCGCCGGACGGGTTCGTGGAGGCGGACAACGCGGAGGCCATCATCTCCAGGATCGAGCACAAGTCTCGCAAGATCGAGAGCTTGCTCAAGCAGTAAGCTCCCTTTGATCCCATCTCTCCCCCTGCCTTTCCGTCCCGCGATTTCGCCGATCGGTTTTCCCAGCCTAACCCCGCCTCGCCGCCTTCCGCCGCCGCGCCGTGCAGGTCGAAGCCAGTGGAGGCCCTCAAGACCGCGCTCGAAGGGTCGCCTCCGAACACGCGGGACGAGCGGTGCAAGGTTCGCCCTTTTGTCTTTTGGGTGTTCGCTGCTTGTGTCGGTAGATCTTTTCTAGAGCGAGAGAATTGTGGGTGGTGAAGTCGTGTGCTCGTGGTGTTTTGCAGTCGGCGAACTGGATAGTGGTGCACAGAGCGATAATGGCGATAAAGGATCTGGACGCTCTGTTCTCTTCTTTGGATCCCGAGTACTACGACATCCTCATGAAGTGAGTAACCTCGTCTTTCCCCGTTGTTCGTACCTGCCCATTGTCGATGCTCGTTCGGGTTGTTGCTTTGTGTTGCTTCGTACCCTTTGCCGTGGACTTGAAATGTTTGAAGCGATAGCAGCATTTGAAAGCACAGGGGATGATGGTTATATTGTTTCCATTGAGTTTGTAGCACTTGAAGGCACAAGTAGTGGTAGCATTTCTGAACTTATCTTTAGCTGCAAAGTTGTTTAAGCCACAATGGTGAGCTGCTGTTCATCCCGCTCACCTTACATGCCGATATCTATGCCAAAATGCCACCGTGTGTGTGTGGGGTTTTGAAGGCCTTACTCTTTTCACCCGACCATTCCGTTCTTTTGTTGTGCCAGTTCAGTACTCCTATAGTCCCTTGATACAGATGAACCTAAGGATCGTGAAGAGGCTTCTCGGGTAATTGAGTGGTGCATGTTACGAGGGCCTCGCATCTCTACCCGATAATGATTGTTGAGACTTTGAACTGTTTGTTGCAGAGCCATGATAGATGCATTTTGCTTCCAGTAAGCATTTTGTCGTGGCTGCAGCTTTCATTAGAGATGTTTAATGAAGATCAAGAATCATGGTTAAAAAAAGCAAACTGTCCTTTTAGTTTCTTGGGTTTATCTGTGTCAACCGGGTTGGCACTTTAGAATTTGTGAAGACTTACTTTATTTCTTTAACGACTTAGTTTGATATTCATCTTCTTACTTCTGATAATTTTCAATCCTACAAATGTTTGGCGGAGGATACTCCATTTAACAAAGTGATCTTGGCAGTATTCCCATTTGTGAAACTTGACCATAAATTTTTTCAGAAATAGCTAACTACTTATTGACTGTGGTTTAGAAAATCGGTGTCTCACTTTCGCTTATGAAGATTAGGTTTTTCCAGTATCTACTATTAATTGTATGCTTTAGCTGATCATAGCCTATATTTTTAAGGCTTTGTTAAAAAGTATATCTTGTTGTAATGTGAATTTGCTAAATTATGCTAGTCGTGATTCCTATTCCCTAAGAAAAGCCCTTATAGAGGTTATGCTCAGACTAAGCTGGAATTTCTTTATTACTATGATGTGATTTGTATTAGGCATTCTAGTTGTCTCTTCCTAAGGATCAGTACTAATGCTTCCCGAGAGGAAGGAAAATTGGGGTTGGCTTGGAAAATGGTGTAAAGTTTAAAACTTTAGTGAGGAGAGGAGGAAAATTTAAATATTCTTTCCATTTTCTTCCCCTCCTCACCTTCTAAATGAAGCATAAGAGTAATAGACTGGAGAGGATAAAGCAGGGCAGGTAAGGTTTTGGAACGGAAGGTAGCATATGCTCAGTGATATTTGCTCCTGTCCAGGGGTCATATGTGTTTATGCTTGGAGTAGTTGTGGATTTAGGGTAGCAGAAGCAACTCCTGATATAGTTTGTCTCAAAACTACGATTACGTGCAATAGCTTTCCCTGAATTCTAGACAAGGCATTTCAGCAATTGTATCGACAAAGTCCTTATTGGTTGTTTCTTTGTTGGTTGTATTGAGTGCCAAAATCTAGTCATGCAATCTAGTCCTAGCAGATCTCCTTTCTAGCGTGAATGCCTGAGACTTCTGAGTAGGTTGATCTAATGGTATATCTGTTCTGAGTGATTTGAAGGAGGGAGGAATTAAATGGATAACTTTTGGAGTTAGCTTAATCTCAAGGCCAGGTTTCAAGCAGGAGCAGAATGAATTTGTTTCTGCAGGATTCTGGTTTAGATTACATTTTCACTGAGGTGCCATACTCTTGACTTGCCATAGTCTTCGCAACTCAGCCAGAAAAAAAGTTGTACCATGTTCATTTGTCTTGTGTGTTCTTCTTGGTCATTGTATTTTGGCATATAATGATCATACAAGACAATTGCACACTGTTTTCCCTAGTCTTCCTGTACTTATGTGTTTTGAATTCCTTCCTGTCCATAACAGTGTCATCTGACCAGATAAATTGGGTTTGATGCATCTTGCAGCACAATACTTGTCTTTCTGTTTGGAGGACATGTTACTTTTTTTTATATCAGTATTTGAAACCTATCTTATTCTATGTATACTGCAAAGATGACTCATTGGCCTGTCAATGCTTAAGACCGGCTCAGAGCATCATCTAACTCTTCTTGAGGAATTATATGCAAATGCTCTGTGGGATGTTTTTTTATTGCTTTTGGTACTTGAGTTGATCAACACTGACAAGATGGTATATAACAAAAATTGTCTTGAGGTCCTCATCGAAGTACTTGAATGTTCTTACGGCTGTGAACATGTTCATTTAAGAGCGGTTATAAAGTAGACAGGGATTTGATGGGATCTATTATTTGCCTTATGTATGTAGGCTTAACATGTATTTTACTTTGACCTTCAGGCTCAGTGTGCAATTATGGTCTCATGACCAGCAAATGCAAATTGAGCACTGTCTTCTAATTTCACAATGGTTAACTGAGATTAAAGGTAGATACGATCTACCTCTGTGCGTGTGTGTGTGTGGCCAATAAGTATGAAGCAGAGTTTCCCCGTTTATTATTTATTTATCTTGTCTGATCATTACTATCTTGCTCGGATTACCATTCTTGTCAAGGCCTTTGTTGGAGTTAAAACACGCATTCCTTCTCAAGTGAGTAGTAACAGAATTTGGTGTGTAATTGCTATCGTTGCTGTAGTTCATGTGTGTACTTCATTTCTTTCGTTAATGCCTTCTTCTTTTCCCACTCACGACATATCTGCGAAACCAGAACCTCCTCTAGTGATTTGATCTTCTCGTTTGCTTGCCAGATACTTGTACAGAGGCTTGTCTACAGGGGATCGCCCCACCTGTGACCAGTGCCTGCGGATTCACGAAAGACTCACGGAGAGGGCAGGCTTGGGGTGCATACTTCGTTCCTTGGCAGACACCATGAATACAGTATGATGATTATTGCCATCTTTACCAAAGAGAGAGAAGTTTCTACTGTATTATTCCTCGCCTCCCTTTCCTGTAGATTTGTGCTGCAGCGTATCTGCCATCGACATGACTGTGATTAGTATTGCGCTTTATTAGGAACCATTGTCTCCTAGTCCTTACAAAGCTGAACTTGCTTCAGATTGCTAGAGAACATTTATTCTTTCATTTCGAGGTGTTGCCGTTTGTCTACCCTTGCGAGCGCAACTAGCAACAATGGACACTGACATAATAAAAGAAAACAGAACAACAGATTAATCTAACGCGAACATGAGAAACATAAGTATGTTTACAGTGTCTTGATCCAGATTTTGCGCACACGATTCTGCATCATCACTTGGGGATTGAGACTGTCCAGAGCAACGTTATTGGGAATTGAGGCTGCCCAAAGCAACATTACTGGTTCCAGTTTCGTCAAACTGAAAATAAAATCACCATAACTCATCTTGGCAGCTGACTTTCTGTGCATTTTGATTTTACAAGGAGGACGAAATGGCCATTGTTACATGACAGAGTACATGTATAGAAATTTCAAAGTTGTAAAAACTGGGCCAAATAAAAACCAGAGCGTAAGGATATGTTCTAAACTGACGTCCATTTTGTTGGCTGACGTCCACAGCGTCTCCTTTTTTTGTTTGAGTAAATGCAGGGTCGGCATCAGACTCATTTTCTGCTCGAGCCTCGACCTCTTGAACAGCAAACCGTCTTTTCCACTTCTTGAAGTCGCGTAATGGGAAAAGTACTTCATGTATCGGTCAGTCAATTGATGTTCGATATGTACCCCATTCTACTCGATGCTTGAATTTTGATATTAGTCACCTTTGGTTATCGCCCATCGAGATTTATAAAACAAAACATTAAGATGAAAGAGAACTTTCAGTCTGATATGCTCATTGCCTAATCACAGAATGTGACTGACATGTATGGATCCATGGTTAGGGGACATCATACAACTATTCATTGATGAGTTACGCTTCTAATACTTTCGCTCGTATCTCGGTATCTCGCTCCTAAATTTAGCTTCAAAAGGCATATTCTGTGTTACCTGTCAACAAATATCATTAATTGAATTGCTTGAAACTGCTTATGACCCAACATGGCAGAGGAGACCATGATTCATCGACAATTCGAATAGGTTCGACAATCACCCACGTCACGATAGATCATCAAATTACCTAAGTGAACAAGATTCATGAACAACTAACGTTCACCTTTTTCCCTTCCCTCCATGTTTTCAACCCTAAATACAGGGATAAGATATCTCTATCCCAGCAATCAATGTCCTATTATCAGCAAAAAGCACAATAGACGCTCTATTTTGCTAATCATCCGATCCTTCTACGTCATAATCTTCTAATGTATCGTCAGGATGAGCCGACACTCTTTGCTTTACGCCTTGGCACATGCGGTGCAAATGTCTGGAGAAGCCATCAAGAGTGTAAATTGTTCAGTCCTTGTTGCATCTGTAGCCTTGCCCAAGGGCTGATGGATGCTCCAGTCAGACTAAACGGATTATGGACTGGCCCCGTGGGGCTAATCATTGAGGCAGCGACTGAAGATGAAGATGGAGACGACGATGACGACGAAGGGACAGACACTCGCTGACATGAAGGGCACATGGTGAGCGTGGTGGGGGGCTTCATATGCATGTAGAGCTGTGGGGAGAGCAGCTTCAGTGCTCTGAGCTCCTGCACTTCCTTCTGCAGCCTCTTGTTCTCCTGGGTAAGATTGTCGCAGCACCTTTTAAGGTACTCACAGTCCACCTCAGTTTGCTTCGTCTTAGTCCTACACCAAATTGGTAAAAAGAAAAAAGAAGTCATGATACATCTGAATACAGAGCTCCCCATACAGATTGTTGATGCTAAATTACACTAGGATAATAAAGCATTTTTGGCTCAATCTAGTACGGTAGTTTATGATAGCCTCATGCCGGGGGTCAATATGAATAAAAAACTTAAACCCGTTTCCATGTGCTTGAGAAAATCCAGATGGCAGTTATTAGACAAAATAATTGCACATTTGTTCAAACCTAATATGGGGAAGTTTCTTCATCGAGCCAATTCATCGACACAAAAGACCCAACATCATTAACCTGACCATAAACAGAGCCTTCCCAGAGCTGCATTGTAGATTATATGAGTGCATGAATCTAAAATTAGCCCTTGCATCACGAAATTTTGGGTATTGAGTACTCCCTAATATACTTTACTTCCTTCCCTGGCGGCTGAGGTTTTAAGGATCCCACACATAGGAGCTCCATACTTAAGTGAGAATGTGAAGTGTACTCCTAGACTACGTGACAAGTCACATCGCCAGACTCCTGCTACATGCTCACACTACTCGCGTCCAAGGTGGCCCAACAGGGCATACATGTGGACCCAAAGATTACATGCACCCACTATAAGAAAACAACTTTGCCATTGAATTGTCAAGCCACCATCAAATGACTAAGAAAGACCCCCCATCACATGTACAGAATTCCTTAACACCCCCAACCCCCCGCGGCCCCGCCACCCCCCCCCCCCCCCCCTCCCTCCGGGACACACATAATGTTGAATAAAGCTCAAGGCAATTATCGTAGCTTCCACATTAGAAAGGGTCAAGGTTGATTAATCAAATCAAGAAGTGGGTCTTCGCATATTTCTTTCACAATAATCAGAGTGATGCAGATGACACAGATGTAAAGCCATGCAATTGGGGAAAAAGAACTCAGAAGTATCAATCAAAAGCCCTTACCTGGCACGCCTGTTCTGAAACCAGACCTCCACCTGTCTGGGACTAAGATTCAGCTGCTTGGCCAAGGCAAGCTTTTGCTTCTGAAACTCAAAATAATCTCCAGTTAAACTCATCGGAACCACCCCTTTCTCACATCCAAAGGGGAACCTACAGATTATCTCATTATCATAAATGAAAATGAAAACCAATTTGTGATTCACACAGATCCAATCATTGCTAATAAGAAACTAAGAAAGGGTCTCAAATCCCCAGTTCGACCGTTATTTAGCAAATGATAACTACAAATAAACATCAATCTCATGACTGAAATGCACTTTGAAGTCTATTTTTCCAACCAACCATCCATGTCTATGCAGTGATTAAATGCTTGCGCACGTTTAAAGAAAGCATAGTCTTAATTAGTAACAAAATGACCAAAATTGCCGCTCACAGGGTTAAGAGTGTTATGCTCTTTGAATGTCTCCTCTAGCACCAATGACTGTTCTCTAGACAGCCTGAGCTTCTTCCTCGCTGCATCTCCTCCGCTGCCATCTTCTTCGATGCTCTCATAAGAGCACGAAGTTCTCTCAGCCTCAACTTCATTGTCTCCATGTGGGTCTCTCTCACTTCTCTTGCCACTTATGCTTGACACGGTGCTGTTAGGCGATGAGACCCGATTATCATCATCCAATTCCACCACTATTATGTCTCGGTTGACGCCAACTCCACCAAGGAACGGCCTTGTTTCGGAGTTTGTTACTGAAAGTTGATATATACAAATCAGGATTTGACATCTGAGGCCAAGGAGGATGACACTCCTTCAAAACTTTATCGAGTTTTTAAGGCAAATCTTATACTTCAACCTCCTTGAAAATAACTAATACCGACGACTGCTAATGAAGATTAGCGTCTTAGCCTTCTACATCTAATCTAATAGATGACATTAAACATGGAGTAAACCGAAATCAAATTTCACAGGAACTTTTCTGCGTTGTAGCTTCTATGAACCAAAGGATACAAAACGCAGTGTACCCATTCAGACAAATGCCTCGCAGAATGATGCATGTTAAATCCAGGATAAGCAGAGATTGGAAAGAAAAACTATTTACGCTTTCAAAGATTAAACAAGATAACAGAATGTGACGTTGGAGAAGGCAACAGAAAAGAAAATCAGAGCAAGCCCAAAAAACCTATTCTCACCAGGAGAGTAGAAAATCTCATTCCAAGAACTCTTCTGCCCAGGACTCTGCCTGGACTGTGTAGGAGCTTCTACGAGATTGAGGTTCAAAGACAATGCACTCTTCGCACATCCCAGGCTCAGACTCAACCCCAGCCCGTCATCTTGCTCACCCATTTCCACTTTTCCCCAAGAAGTGGGGGGTCAAACTCAAAACCAAAACCTCCTCCTCCCTCGAAAGGAGACCAAAAAAAAAAGGCTGCTAATTTTTCCTTTGCCTACAGCAACGGCTCCTGGGTTTCTTGATTCTGGGTGCTTTAGGTTCTGAAGAAAACAAGAACAGGAAGAAGAAGGGGCAAAGAACAGAGGATTTGAAAATGGCTACGACCTCTTCTTTTTCTTGGGTCTTGGCCCTCTCGGGGGCAGGACTGGTGGTGTCTACGCCCCCTTTGCAAGACAATGAAAGGATGGGACAACATCAAGATAAATGGAGGGGGAAGAGAGAGAGTGTAATGATGACCAGTGTCAGTCCAGCCTATTGCATGAATGATGATGATTGATGGTTCCCACACCACACAGGCAGGCAGGCAGGCAGGGCAGGCACCTCCCCCAATGAGTTCATTCGCCCTATTGATGATGGATTGCATCAGTGCCCCCCTCCCTCCCTCCCTCCCTTCTTTACTGTGGTTAAAACGTGTGGTTTGGTTCAGTTCTTGAGGGTGGGGGGCACATCTCACGGTGGTGGTTAAAACTGGGGGGATTGCTTTCCCTCTTTGACCCGTTGACGGGACATAAAGCTGCGGATCCACTAATGATGAGATGATCATCAGACACAGTGAGAGAGAGAGAGAGAGAGAGTAGGAGAGAGAAGGGGGGGGGGGGGGATGTGAATCATAAATGATCACAATCTTCGCCCATGGAACCCACGAATCTCACGCTTTCCCAAGAAGAAAGATGGACTATGAACCGGATCATCCGAAGTCGATGGCCGTTGGATCGCAAGAGAACGGATCTCGATTCTTGGTTCGGAAATCTTCAAAGTATTTAACGAGATGCGCGACATTTAGTGCAACGAAAAAAAAGAGCACTCGACCTTTTTCAACGACTGCACCGATCCTTGAAGACATCATAGAAAGCCATAAAATTAAAAGAAATATTAATTTTGAGTAGCACATGCTATCATTATTTTGTCTAAGTCCCGCTCGAAATATAAATCTAGGCGTTCATCTGACTAGTTGTATTCAAATTGTTTGGGTCGAAAAGTTTAGGAGCAAGAGATGCACGAAAGAGTAAAGCAAATAGGAAAAAGAAGAAGGAGAAAGAAGAAAAGAACGACGAGCTTTGATTTGCTAGTCGATCTTCATTCTTTGACCATTCTACTATATCTGAAGTTGTCCTTAATAATCTCCGGTTTATGTTCCGAAGTGTTTCATGCTAATTAGTTACCGAATTAGTGTCCCGAGGCACCCGCTGGTGAAATTCCTCTTCTCGTACTTGAAAAAGAAACGAACCATACATGAATGGTATGAAAAACACACGCGAGCTCATATATGGTCGTACGTTTATATATATGATCAGAATTCCGATCGTTCTATTTCCCATAATCAAACTATATCTATACACCGACAAAAATCAATTTGCAAAACTGTAACACCGTCATTTTCCCGACTACTCGTTACTTTCGACGTTTTCAGAGTTCGAGCTCTCGATCTCGTCTTTTCCAAACAGGGGCGATCGCCCACCCACCCGTCCATCCTTCCGAACGATAGTTATGGTTCCAACCGGACGTTACTTTCTCGACGGGCACAGAGCTCCCGCGATGACGCCCGAGCTCTTTCGACTTTTTCTTTCCTCCCATCAAAATAAAAAGAGGGAAAGGAAAAGAGAGGAAAAAACAGAAGGGGAAGGGATCTGTAAAATGAAGGGAAAGGTGCTCAAAAACGATATAAGGACGCCATCAAAGAGCGCGGGACATCATCACGCGACTGCGGGTGCTCCCATGCATTAAGGCGAGGCCAGTGGGAGCCCACGTGAGTTGAGAAATATTATAGAATGGAGCCCCGATGAGTTTTCCGATCGTGCGGCGGGCGCTCGTCGGTGTCCGGGGGATTCGCGCGATCCCAGCCGTGGATGGCAGGGGGGACCGTTCCCCCGCGCGCACGTGATCGAAGCGGACGTCGAAGGGGGCCATCGCACGTGCGGGGGTTGGGGATGGGCGGTGGTGGTCATGAAAGCGGATCTGTTGGGATTCGGATTTTGGGCCCCCGCCCCCGCCCCCACGCCCTTTAGACCTTGGCGAGATAATCTCCGACACCAACGTTGTTTTAGTTCCCCGAACGTTCGGTCGATCCACCGCACGTGCGCGGACGCGATTTGCCCCGGGCCATTTCCCGTTTCCTGTTTCTGCTCGTCTCTGCCTCGTTTGGAGCTATAATTATACATCAGGGCTGCGTAATTTCGGTCGATTTCGGTTCGTTATTTTTTTCTTCTTTTTTTCCTGAGGACGCGGCGTGTGCCGTCGGCTTTTCCTCTTTGGCTGGGCTCTCTCTGTATGCGATCGAACGTTCATGGCAGAATGTACGTCCGCCCACCCGTTTGTTGAATTCCATGTACCGTGGTCTAAATTTCATGCGCCGCTCGTGATCTGGCTTACACGTGAGAGGAGCTGTTAGAGTATTTACCCCGCATCGGCTTAAAACTTTTCGATTTGACTTTCTAACACCGACTCATCTGTATACGATCGATCGAACATTCATGGCAAAAAGTTGAAGAGATGGTTGAATGAAAAAGGCGAACTGAAAGTAGAAGAGATGGTTCAATGAAACGCCGGAAGTAGGTAAATGTTCCCCGAGTTGTGTCGTACTAGTCTCAGGAACATGTTTTTCCTTTGCTGCCCATTTATTTTCGTGCATTTAAACACAGGAAAAGTCTGAAAGCATTTTTCTAGGAAATAGCTTTATTCGAAACAAACACGCCCTTAGCATTTAGACCAAAGAGGCCAATGCTCACGACTCGAGAGAAGCATCATCGTTGATTCGATGGTTTTCTCAGAGACTTAATTCACCTCATGTTACAAGATTTAGCTCCGGTGAATTGGCTATCCGATCAGCGATGACCTCAAACACAACACCAGCCGTCATCCGAAAAAAAATACGAACACATCGGTCGCATCGTTATCTTTTGCAGATGATCATTAAGAGCTGAGTCGTACAGAAAGTTAAACATAATCAACAGCCGCTTCCTTTCCTGACAAAATAGAACTGCAGGAACTTTCAAACACATTAAGCGCGCATGACTTCTGCCATACCATGGATGTGAAACCCGCACGTATGCAGAGAGAGAGAGAGAGAGAGAGAGAACCTCATGTAGATTAAAAATCTGTACAATGAAGGAGCATGATACAGAAAAACTTGTTTCCAAAGAGATGCAGAGCCATGCTCTAACATCTGGTTACCAAAGAAAAAGGGAAAGCTCTAACATGTTACAGAACCTGTTAACTTTTCTGGTCATAAACAAACATGCAAAATACAACCAAAACATCAAGCCCTGCCTGCCAAAATTATTTGACCCCACGAAAAAGGAATAAGCTAGGGGATATAAGGCAATCCCATCCCATTACCAATCGCTACAATCTACAGGTGAAATAAAAGGTCCTATCAAACAGGATATTCTACGTAAGCTGTTGAGCATCCGCTTGCGTTAACTGAGAGTAGATGTACTCGTCTACTTTCTGTTTGGCCAGTGCTACCTGTCATTTCACATAAACAGGGAATGAAAATCGCGAAATCGGTAGCTTACTTAGACAGCAAAACTTGCAAATGCTTCTCTTGAAATCCATTCTCAAGGTTAGTCAGCCAATCTGTTGCGTCCATTACATGATCCTTGATTCCTTGAGCGGTTATTACCATAACCAATTAAAAACACGGTGCACGTTAACCGAAAACTGGAAACACAAAAACCACAAGTACAGAGATTTTGCAACCGACAAGCAGGTCATCACGAATGATGCACCATTTAGGAGGGACCCATGCCGGGATAAGGTCAAAGAGAACTTGGATAATGACATTGACTGCCATGAACTTGGCAAACAATATTGCTTCAGAGGGTCCAAAACAATTCACGAAGCCCCAGCAAGACATTTATAGACTCAGTTGAAATGATTTCTAGAATACCTATCCCACGATTGCATCCCTAGTGATGCATTCACATTTTGGCAACATGTAGCTCCATCCACAAACTCCAGGTTTCCATAGACAGATCTCCATTCTATGCCATTGATTGCTTTCAAGTTTACCAATGCTATGACAAGTAATAACTGGTAGCATGACAAATAACATAACTCAACAAAAGAAATGATACCTGTTGAGCAGTACCCCCAAACTGGATCTGCCTATGCTTCTGCTCGCCTTTTCCACCATAAACCTATGCAAGTAAAGAATAATGAAGCTGAAAGATAAAATGTAAAATGAACTTTTGCCTTGTAAAGAAAGAGAAGCCCATAGTTAGCCAGTCATGACAAACATATTCCAATTTGTCAAGTATCACATTAGGGAAATGACAAGAGTTCTTGATGAAGGAAACTTGCACAGAACAAAATCAAGAATAATATGGCTTACTTAATAAAAGATAATAATCCGGCCACATGATTCAGATTCAATTTAATGTTTGCCAAATCCATACAAACAAAAAAAGCAAGCAACAGTTTATTCATCACTCCAAAATGACAACGTAAGAGGTTTGCTTACCTTGATCGTTGCTCCAGACTCATTTCTGATCCTCGATATGTTGGAGCCACCCCTACCAATCAAACCTCCAACCAATGTTTCCGATATCAGCATCTCGAACGTCGCGTAATCAGCTGAAACATTGTAATCTAATGGTAAGGCAATTGTCACAACAATTCAGAGTCGACACATAATTCCGTGTACAGTTTTGACATAAATTAGTCAGATAACCTGAATTGGGATCAACATATGGTTGAGCTGGACGAATCAAATTATAATTGTATGTTGGGCTGATGGAGATCACTTGTCGAGGTGGATTCTCCCTGGAAAATATTCAATTGAAAAAATCCATGTTAGCATTCCAAATGCAAAGAGACGTGTTTAGAAATCTAACATTGTCAATCTAACTATCAAGACCTCAGCTGTTGACCTATCTCCTCCAGAGCCTTAAGCACAGCAGGGATGTCACCTGAGATCTGCATGTAAACAGGAGCTCAGTCAGTGGTCAGAACCAAATGAAGAGTCGCAAAGGCAAATAGCACTCTGAGACTAGCTTAAATTCCAATCAATATGCATAAACCAGTGCAAAGCCACAAAGAAAGATAGAAAGGAGAAAACAAAGAAATATTAAACTCATCAAAAGCAGCTGAGAAGAGTCATTAAATACAATGCATGAACAAAATTTGCACATTGTGTGATTATGTTTGTATCAGCACGAGGCTGAGAAACATAAAGATGCATGATAAGTATTTCCATGTCCACTTGCTTCGACCAAATGAAGGCTCAAGAGGCAACTTACTGAAGAGGCACTCTAAATACAATAACAAAGTACAAACTACATAAAGAGATACAGCACAGCACTTGAAATTAAACTCTCATAATATACTTGTCCAGAAGTACCAGTTCCTTCAGGCTCACCTGTACTACTCTATCAGATTCAAGAGCAGATGCACATAATGGCAACTGATTTGGAGCTAAAATTGTTATTGTAGCACCAGAAGAACTCCTTAGTTTCTCAATATTCTGTCCAGACATCCCAATCAGACTTCCTGCTTGAGTTCCAGCAATCAAAAGCCGTAATGTATTAGCAGCCACGTGCACAGCACCAACTTTTGATGCCTCAGCATTACCATCGTCTTCCTGTTCAAGAGGGAGTCAAAGCCATTTTACTATTGCACCATGAAGTTCTCATCAGAAAATATTCAGCATCATGAAGTGAAATTAGTTGATATTTGACCTCTTGGACTAACGTACAAGACACCAAAAGTCACTTTTTCTGCCTGTTCATTAGAATGACAACCACTCCTCCAGTGATTAACTTTAAAAGGTAAAGTCATTCAAACATAAACTAGAACTAACACAAAGGCCAAATATTCACTATTCATTTCAGTTTAAATCTTCACACGTTGCAGTGACAACTCTTAATGTGATTTGAGATTTTCTATTGTTTCCAGGCCATTTTCTAATATATCCCATGTATTATCAGCTGTCAATAGCGTTTGAATTAGGGTTTCAATTATTCAAAAGAAATACTACAAATTCAACAAATCCAGCTGACAAGCTGTCATTGGCACGAACTACTTAAGTCAGACATTAGACTCTGGAATGAAGTGAAAACTCTGATTATAGACAAGAGGAAGAAGAGAAGGGAAAGAGGGAGGGAGGGGGGCGGGGGAGAGGAGGAGAGAGAGAGAGATTACTGAGAGGCATGAAGCCCAGCTCGGGTACTACAGTCTCTACCTGAATGGAGGACCACCTCCAATGAGTCCCTCAACACCCTGAGTATTCAACGGAAAGTAAGTGAGACAAATGGGGATTGGGAGTAGGCAATTAAGGGATAGGGGTGGGGATGGGGGCAGGGTGCCAAGATTGAGGGAGTGGGAGGAGATGACTTTAAAGCATATAAATAAAGGGAATGGGACAGTACTTATCCTAGTGCACTGAGATTACCAAAAATAGGATCGAGGCATGAAAGTATAAGAAATGCAGGGAGGGGTGAAGGAGTCAACTTAGCCATTCGTTTCAGACTATTTGCCTTTTCAAAGTACCAATATGAACCAAAAACCCAACTTGGAAGAAAAATATAAGAGAAAAGGCCTGACAACAAATCCACTAACAGAGCCGAAAAATATCTGTGCCTTCACTTCAATCCAAACTCATTTTTCAAGTGCTTCGTCCGTCAGATGCTGCTAAGGGATGCAAACTTCCAATTTTCCTCCATCTTTACCATTGAATACCCAAAAGAATAAGTCGAATGGTTTGAACATTGAGCACATTTTAACTCAGCCAGGTTCCACTTCCACCACCCACTTATAATCTTAGATACATTCTTGAATTTCTTTCTTTCTTTCCTGGTCACCCTTTGTTGATTTCTAGGACAAGGTCATGCTCAATTATGCTTCTCAGCAATTCTTACATAAGCTGCCATTCAATCAGATTACTCATGAAAGAAAGTACTACACATATAGACGCCACAATTAGTACCTCAATGACAACTTTTTCTTTAAAGGCAAATGTCTATCAAGGGCTCCATATCATTTCCAAAAGTCAAAAGGCACCAAACGGCAGCCATTAAGTGGATAATTTCCAACCTTCTGCTGTCTCATTCCTTAACTCAGCTCAACATTACGCAATTAGTCCAGGTTCAGGTCCGTTCAGGGCAGTTCTTAGTTACTGCATAACTTGCTAAAACCCTCAGCTATTGATACCAATTCATCAATTCAACATGTCCAAATATTCAATTAGCAAACTTTACTTTCAACGATGCTACGAATCCATTTTTCCTTTCCACTAAATAGAAGTAACCATTCAGCACCAAGGATGAAACTCACAAAGAGGAAAAAAAGGTCCAACATGCACGTAAGTATGCACCTCAGAGTCTGTACACGTAAGGAGTACTTGCAATTAACAAAAAATCTATACATGATCTACCAAAAGTAACAAACACATTGTTATTACTACCAGGCTCAGATATTGATCTCAAGTTAAGCCCAATGGACAGCATTAGCTGTTGAAATCCAAGACAGAACCACAGAGCGAAATTCATAGCTTCATCAATGGTAATTTCTTATGCAGGCTTATTGTCAAGAACAGTTGTAAAAACCATTAACTAGAAAAAATGCACCAATCCGGTTAGCATTGTTTTCTGCCTTTTAAAAACAAAAGAACTGTTTTTAAAACAGTCTGTACACTGCCTAAGGTCCCTTGAAATTAGTTGGTGTGCATACTTGCTCCAGTCCCGAATAAGGGCAAAATAGTGAAAAATCTTGATGAACAGCTTGACAAATACCCAATTATATACTGACCTTGCCTTTTGGCAAGTGATACGGATACATGCAACATTCCTTCATAACTTGTAAGTATTTATTCACAGCTTATCCACCTAGGCAGGGAGATTATGTTGATATTTGACTCAAAGAATTGATATCTCTCCTCCACAGCACAGAAAGAGTTGGGGTAGATCATTCATCCTATCGTATTAGATTCTTAACATCATTTACCCAAGGAGCTCAAACAAAGAACATGCACATCCACGCGCTTGGCAGGAAAGATTGTCCAGATGAGCCATAATCGCGAAGATCACCTGAAGGATCAAGGTGGCTATTTTCTGTAGGGCATTTTCGGCATCAGTAACATTGTTGTCATTGTCCTTAGAACTTATGATAATTACACGCTCTTCATGTCTCTGCAAAAGATCGTTAGGGTCAGTATATATATCAAGTTCCAAAAACAGACTAACTGCACTTCACGGCTTTATGAAATGATGTTTCTGAATAAGCTTCTTGTTCAAGAAAAGATAACATTTTAGTCCTTAACAGATGGTTAATTTCTTGATATCTTCCCTTCTTGATGTTCAATAGATCAACAAAGAGGAATACATGTCCATCGGTATCTATTAAAAGCCACTTCGTCAAAGTATGATTCACAGAAAGGACATAGCTTTGTGAAACCTTGTGTTAGGTTTAATTTATTACTCTAGGATATTGCCCCAGCACAAGATGATGAATGGCCTTAAGCTTGTAAACACGGACGCAATCTTGGCATTCCATAGGCCACTATGCTGGACCATGCACTGTCTAAAGAACAGGGAAACCGGGAATCTTGCATCGCAAATAAAAATCTAACATTTCATCCTTCTTGCGCTCTCAAAGCAAGAAATTTCACGGGCTAAAGGAGAGAATTTCTACTCTCCACCCACTACTTGCATTTCGATCACCAGGCTTTCTATTCAGGAGGATTAAAACTTTGAGTTCCCTCTACTTAAAACATGGGATAAAAAGACATTAGAAAAACCTCGGCTAGCACGTGCACATTCCTCACTATGATGGAATATATCATCGAAACAAATGTAAACAGATTCTGCAAGTAACGCAATCAGGCCTCTCGATCCTGCATGAACTCATGAAACTACACTTCCATGCAATCCATTCTCAATCACAAGCTCAGTTAAAAAAAAAAAAGATCAGCTTTATCATTCAGGACACACGAAATCAGCATGGCAACCATTCTAAGCAACTCCCCACTTCAAATTAACGCCAAAAAAGCCTAAGCACATAAAAAAATCGAAACCGCTCCCCTCAACAAACCACACAGAAATTGACCAAGTAACCGCAGTGTACTCACAACGATGGCGTCAGCGATCTTGACCGTGGCCTTGGTCTCCTCCCGGATCTTCTGGATGCGGCAGCCTTCCTTGCCGATCACCTTCCCGATCTGCCTGGACGGCACAACAATCCTGAATATGACGTCCTGCCCCACGGCCCGGCGCTTCGCCGCCGACGACTCGTCCTCCGCCGCCGCCGCCCCTCCCTCCTCGCGGCGTCGCTTCGAGCCGGCCGGATTGGCCGGCGCCCCGGCGTACATCGGCGTCGGCGCGGGGTTCGGCGGCATCGCGCCGGGCATGGCCATGGGCATTGGCATGGGTATGGGCCACGGCATGTGATGGCCGTACACGGGCACGGGCACGGGCACGGGGTTCAGGGGCGGCGGGATCGGAGGGTAGATCGGGTAGTGGCCGGGCGGCGGCTGAGCCATGGCGGCGCGCGGCGGCGAGCTTCCGTCGACTTCCGGCGGCGCAGGTGGGGGGGGTTCAGGGTTTTTGGGAATCGAGAAGCTCGAAGCTATGGCGGTCTGCGATCGTTTCCCTCCTCCCTCCCTTCCTTCCTTCCTGTTTGCCTCCTCGCTTGCGAAGTTACGGTTCTGCCCTTCGCGACCTTGTCGTTTTTCGTTACTCTCCCGTGGAAAACGTGCTCGTTTCCAGGGGTGAATAGGTCCCTTGGATCTTTCTCGTTCGGTTAAGAGTTTCGGTTAAAGGTAACCTCACCAAAAGGAATCGAGGGAGTTTTTGCTCATACGAAGGCCTCTGCGGCCGTCCCCATTCTATGAGCTGGCTCTGAATGCGTTTTTTAGTTTATCGTGCCGGTACTTGCCTCATATTCCTCAAATTTTCCGTGTACTCTTATCTTCTCTAGAGAAAAGAAATATCTTCTAGATATTTTTATATTTCGGTGATCCCGAGGTCCGGACAAGAATCGAGATGGAGTCTTTTAAGGACTTGATCAGGTCCTATGAGGTGAATAGGTTATGGACAAGAATCCAGAACCTACGATATTAAAGCCTATTCCCAAATTTTAGAAACGGAAAATTGAGGAGTTCAACTTTGGAACTGGCTAATTAGCCGAACTTAAATTACTCCAAGGTCAACCCAAGCCGGTCTACTTTTTATTTTATTGTATTAATCTATTACATGCATCATTCTTGTGTAAGTAAAGCCCGCTTTTTAAGTTGGAATGCTCGACCTCATTATTATTATTATGATTATTTTTGCAGAAGTTCTCAAATTAAGAGATTTATATGATTTTATTTTGGATCGATTCAAAACCGGTTCAAGGACAAGGACCAGAAACCGAATCGATCCTCATATAAACCGGTCCGGCTTCCGAGCAGAACCGGCCCGATTGCCCGCCCCTACATATTTTCGCGTTAACCATATATTTGATTTTATCAAAGAAATATCAAATTTTTTTTTATTGTTAATCCATTTGTTATTTTAAAAAAATCAAATAGCCCAATAAGCCCACCAAGCAATACTACGAGCCCAACGAAGCCCAATTGCTTCTGCAACGGAGCAACTTTTGCCCGATCGTTCGGAGCTCGAGAGCTCGAGACGGCGGAGGGCGGCGATCGTCGATCCGGCGAGATGGCGGCGGCGGAGGATGGAGGAGCCGGAGGACGAGCGGGGCCCGTCGGGATCGGGGCCGGGATCGAGAGCCACTGGTGGTGGGCGATGGGCGGCGCCGCCCAGCTCGGGTGGGGGATAGCGTCGTGCCTGAGGGGCTACGCCGGCGGCCCGGGCCTCATGCCCCTGAAGGCCGCCGGCGTCGCCTCCCTCTTCGTCGGCGCCACCGCCTGCGCCTCCGTCGCCGCCCTCCACGCTTCCGGAATCCGCAAGGTCCCTTCTTCCTCTGTTCCGCTCCAGAACAACGTCTTCTTCTTGCCCCCTTCCTTTCTTTTTTTTTTTTCCAATTAAGTTTAAGCTGATTATTAGCGAGTACAGATTGATTTGGTGTGGCGGTGATGATGATGATGATGATGATGCTGATGATTAGCAAGTGAGCTGATGTTTCGATATGCTACTTCATCTGTTTGTGAGGCTGTTCATGCTAGTTTTGCTTAAATTTGCCACCTGTTTGTTCGTGCCGTGTGTAGAACTCAGGCCTTGAGAAGAGTACCAACATGTAAAGTGTAGCCCTTGGTCTCCATTGCAACCTTAATGTACCCAAATGTGTATTCATTACATACCTAAAGAGAATGTGGCAAAAAGAGGGTGTTTCAGCTATTGTGTGATGTGTTTCTTGTGTTTGACAGTCCTGTGTTTGTTATGAATATGATTTTGCCGGGGCAAAAGGAGGAGAATTTCAGATGATTTCAGGAACTTGATATCATAGGACTGTTGTTTAGTCTTTTCCCTGAGAAATATGGGGGACTTTGTCTGCTCTGTAGTAGAAAGTTGGCCGTCATGGTTGTGAGATCGGTTTAGAAGAGATGAAATAAGGGAGGATTTGTTTCTGGTTGTGGCACCTTGTGGGATTACCTTGTCAAGGGTTCAGAATCTGCATCATGAATCTTTGGCATTTCTTCGGCCTTTCCGTGGGGAAAAATTACCATTCGTGGGTAGGTCAGTAGAAATACCCCAAGTTGGGGTGGATCTCTTCCTCCGAGTTTGAGGATCACTATGAAGCAAGATGCTCTCCGGGGTCGAACCGTTTAATTGGAAGGCCTTCTTAGTTTTCACATGGAGTTGTGATATGGAATTGAGATGAGAAAAATACGCAACTAACAATCCTCTCCCCTTATGAAGAAATCTCTTGACACAGTGGAGTGGTGATTTCACATAATCTGCTCCATGCCAATTATCTATCAGCATTGGTGGGGGTATGCACGGGTGTGCCTTGGTGCTTTGATAATTGTATCCAACTATTACATGAAAATTCTCCATCTGAACTGTAAAAGTTTGCTTTCTGGCTTGTGCTACGACTGCCACATGCAATGGCAGACCGAGAATTTTCTGCCTCTTTCCATATGTCGTTTTGCTACCAAGTAAAAAGGATATATGGTGGTTCTAATTTCCAATAGCGGCCTTGCCATAGCATGGTCTTTGTTTTTGGTGATTTACTAATGGTTGCGTGACTTCTGTAGGTTGAAGATCTCATTGAGTTAGGTGCTAATATAAGGACTAGCCTCGGGAATCCTCCAGCTGCGCAGCTGAATGAGTATGTTCTTCCATCCATATCCTATGAAAGAATGAATCTCCCATGATCTCTCTTTTCTCCCCAACCAGATGAATTGATTACTTCTTAAAGCTAATGATGTATAACGAGTAATTATAGCATACACCAGAGGTGTAGAAAGAATTTTACACAGGCGGTGTTGTTCACCCTTGATTTGAGGATTTTAATAATCCACTCTCTCACTAACCCGCAAATCAACGGTGGATAAGACCGCTTGTGTAAAGTTTTTTTCACTGGCGGGGTATTCTTTAATTTTTAATTACGTATATGCGTCCTTGGAAACGAAAAATGAGAGAAAGAAGAGTTTATTCTGTTGGGTATGGTTTTCCTTCTCTGTGCATTTTCTACTTCTAGCCTGATTCTATTGTTTGGTTGCCCTGCACTAGTTTTATATTGACCCCTTTTATGTCTATTCCATACATGACATCTTTATGAAGTTGAGATAATCTTGTATGGCGCTCACTGACTAAGGCTTCTAGTTCTAACTACTGGTTTTTTCAGAAGGAAATCGGATGATCAATGACAAGAGTCTCGATGGTACATGGCAAGAGCACGTACAGAAACTCCAGTTACCTAACCAAAGTGACTTTAGGAATGATGGTGACTATATAATGGCGTGCGATCCCTCTTCATCCGATCGAAGTGCCTTTTTGATGCCCGTTGCACATCAGATCATTAATTCCATTTATATCTTGCACTCATCTTTTGGCAGAGCGACACTTTTGGGCTCTTCCGTGTGTCATTTAGTCAATAACTAGTATTTTTGAGCAGCAAGTACAAGATAACTACGATGTCGTTGCTCATCTGCTGCTACAGATGCGAGTACTAACATGGGACGGGCAAAGCACTTGCATGAATCATGATTGTTTGGTTTCTCAGGTGATGAAGCAAAGCTTCATGCTTGAGATTCTCTTTGGGGAGCAGCATGTTAGGCTGTGCACAGCCATTCATCAGAAAACTGTTGAGTGTGTTTTGGACATCTTAAGTTCTTAACCAAATGTAATCTCCCAACTAGATATTGTCAAGAGGGCTCTTCGTATGTTGACATGCTTTGGGCACTGTTCAAATGCTTGTGATTCATCCAAGAGCTAATTCCTCTTGCTGTCGAATCCTTTTTACAGAAGATGTTGGAGAGTCGAAACAGAAGCGGCTAAGAATACTATGAGGAATTTAATAATAAGGGTGCATTTGTTTGGGGGGAAAATCCCATGATAACGGAAAATGGTTAGTTTTCCTTTGTTTGGTAACGTGCGAACGAAAATGTTTTTTGATGTTTAGATCTTATTTAGAAAATAGTTTCAATCTCGTGACTTTGTTTGGGCCACAAGAAAATACTTTCATCAAGTAAACACACCCTGAAATGCTACAAATTTGCCTTGGTTCCCCACTACTTCCCACTCCCTTACTTCTCTCAACAATATTCTCAGATCACAAAACTCTAGGCAAAGAAATCGGTAGGGTAAATAATTTACCATTCCATATCCTTTCTCTTTTTAAAAATATTTATTAATAAATGCGTTCCTTTTTAAGTCCTTATCAAATCTTCTTTTCTTTTTCCTGGTTGAAGAAGTCCCATAATTTAGATTTAGAAAACATACACTAGCCATAAACATTTTTTTCCCGGTTGTCAAAGGAAATTGTATGATCATCACTTAATTATCCTTTTCTCTTTTCATCTTTCTTTATTGTGTATATATATATATATATATATATATATCAAGCATCGCCTTAGCTCGATCAAGTCGAGGAACTACACCGTTTTAGACCATTCGTGCTCTTGTATAAGTTCAAGACCTTCTCCGTTTTGATATTACTAGCTCTCATTCATCTATCAAATTATTTACGTAAAATAAATATCTTTCATGGATAATCATCGATATGTTCCATTAATATTAGTAAGCAAATTTAAAATTTTTTTCCCCACCTCTCATTCTTCTAATTTTCTTTCTCTAATTTCCAGCAAAATGCGCACATTAGCTATATAGCGGATTATTTGATACGAAAAAAAATATTGTTACTAGAAAATGGTTATAATGTATCGACTCACTCGTCTTAGTTTTTCAATGGCGTTGAAAACAACTACGTCGGTTTTGCAAAAAAGTTCTCCATCTCTCTCCTCTGTTTTCTTTCTTTATTAGCTAGTAAAATTTGTAAGATTAGCAACATAAAGCATACCATAATAAACAATGTGCACAAGGGCCGAAATATATCAACTCTCACTCGCCTTTATCTTTCAAATCGCGCCGAACGATTGACCCCCTAATCGAGATTACGAAGGACGAACCCCATGTTCGTGTATAGATCGGGCGCACGCGACGGATTCGATTCTCCCCGATGAGCTAGGCCTTTGCTCGCATTGAATTGCATAGGTGGTGTTCTTCCTTGAATCATGATATCAATCGTACTTCATGTTCTTTCGCTCTTTTCTGATTCTCCCGAAGAAGCACGAATTACTTGGAAAGAAAGAAACGTGTCGAAGTGAAAGGGGCAAAAATGGGTGAAGAAAAAGCGAGAGAAAATAGGAGAATGTGGGGGAAGTGGGGAGGTAACTGTCTCCCTCCAACCGCCTCTTTCAAAAACAATCCCACAACATGGGACGACACGAAACGATAGACAAGAGCGACAGAGACACACGTCGAATGTGTTTTGTGTACAGGAAGAAGAACGAGGAAGAAGAAGAAGAAAGGAGGAACCTTCTGCTTCGTCATCATTCAAGAAAAGACGCACAGCATCGAAGAAGAGTCCGATGAGAAGTTGCGTGGGAATGGAGGGGAAGAGGGAAGAGCAGCAGCAGCAGCAAGTGCTGAGGAAAGGGCCGTGGAAGGCCGAGGAGGACGAGGTCCTGATCAGCCACGTGAAGAGGTACGGCCCCCGCGACTGGAGCTCCATTCGATCCAAAGGCCTCCTGCAGCGCACCGGCAAGTCGTGCCGCCTCCGCTGGGTCAACAAGCTCAGGCCTAATCTCAAAAAGTATGGAATTATGCTTACGTCAGAGTCGCTGTGCGCCAGTGTCGGCGTCATTTTTGTAATCCTTTCGCCTCGCTTTCTACTTCGTTGTTGAGTCGTGTGTCGGGAGGAAGTTGAGCACTCATTGATTGATGGGTTTGTGGTTTTCGTTCATTTTCTCTTTCCGGGTCGTGCTCGTGTTCCAGCGGTTGCAAATTCTCGGCGGAGGAAGAGAGGGTGGTGATAGAGTTGCAGGCGCAGTTCGGTAACAAATGGGCGAGGATCGCGACGCACTTGCCTGGTCGGACCGACAACGACGTCAAGAACTTCTGGAGCAGCAGGCAAAAGAGACTGGCCAGGATCCTACAGGCCTCATCTTCCAAGCAGCACAAACACAAAAGGGAAGTCCCTGTCGTTCCCCATCACAATGTCCCTATCGTGGAGGTACAGAAAATTTGAACACAATCTTTTCTTGGCTTCATATCTTCTGAATTTCGCCAGTTACTCGGTATTGTATCGGAGGGATCATGTCGTAAGCCTCGATATAGTTTAACCGGTCCTTTAATTGAGTATAACACGTCGTTATTGCTCTAGTTCGAAATGATCGGTTATACTGTCGTTGATGAGAATGTTCCAAGAAATTTGAAGCTTCAATTCGAAGTCCTGAAATTGAAGGAGGATGCATGGATTTATGCTCTTGTCCTCGTGCTTTTCTAGATTCCTAAATTGAGCTCTTCGGCGGGGGAAGAGTCGACCTCAAGGGCTTGCTTGGGGGCAATGCCGCACATCACAGATCCTCTGCTGCCGCAGAGACTGCTTCCGCTACCGCCACCGCCCGACTTGCCACACCCGGGTACTCCCAGTGCTAGTGGCCATTTGGCTCCACATGAGTTCGACTCCAACGAGAGCCTCTACTCCGATCCCCACATGCAAATCTCGTTCCCTCACATACCGCTGCCGCAATTAGGCATCTCGTTCTCGCCCGAGAGCCAAGAGCTCATGGCGAGGCTTGACGACCCCAACTATTTCAGTTTGCTGGGCCCTGGGGATGATGCTTCCGAGCTCGTGGACACACAGGGATTTCCTCCCGACATGCCCCTTCTGGGTCCTTCCTTGTGTTGTAAAGGCAGCGACGGCATGATAGACGGGAATATGAACGTGGGGAAGCCGGACATTTTCTTCGACGACTTGCCATTGGATGTACCTGACCATTTCGAGCCACTCCCGAGCCCATCGAAGTGGTGATCATACAAGTTATACCGAGCTAGGAAGGGTCCGCGGATGAGACAAGAGTTATTTAATTGTCTAAGCTTCAGTGATTTGACAAGATTCAGCGACAAAGCAATTCTTGTTGCTGTTTATTCTTTGTATTCAGATCAGGTTTAAGAATATATATGTACGAGACACCTCTAGTTCATGTATTGCAGCAGTATGAACCACTTGGCTCTCGATATAATTTCCAAACTTAGCGGTGTGTAAGTGAGGATGATTCAGAGAGGATGAACAACATAAACTGTCCTGACATCAAAATGATCCAACACAACCAACATATGCCAAAACCAGCATAGAAAGCAACTCAGACTCTCCCAATGCTGCTCCATCACAGACTGCAAGTGCAAACACCGGTTCGTGCGTGTCGTAGCGGCTCGTGCTTGATGCCGGTTTCATTAGGGTTCGTGGCGATCTCAAATCTTTTAGCGGTGAAAGAGATGCCGTTCCAGACGATTTGCCTTTTGAGATGTGCACGTCCTGAGATAGTTCGGTTTTATTTTGTGGCCTCTTGCCTCTTTCCAATATGTCGAGGCCGTGACCTTCACTCCTTCCCCTGCAATTGAAGCTGGTTTAGAAACATGTCAAGACACAAAAACGTCTTCACTTTTCGCCGCCACTCCTGTGAATACCGGGTGTATGCACAACAGGTATCCCTATGAACCGTTGAATCTGATCGGCTCGTATTAACTTTGAGTGGATCCACTGGCTTTAATGGCCCAAATAGACCCACGGTGCTGCGCCAAGCCTATTCTTTGGGTCCCATAATAAACTAGATGTCAAATTGAAGCTCACCATGAGTGACGAACAGCAAATTTTCTTGAGGGTATCTGTCAGCGAGGGAGTGAATAGTGTGAAGATATCGGTCTCTTGCCCCGGATTCGCTCTCTCCCCATTGTGGCAGCTGCAGCAATTTAGACACTCTACATTAGACCATGCAATTACAATGAGAATCTAATCTTTTAAGCACAGACCGAGTGCCACATAAAAAACCTCGTACCTCCTTGTACACCCGGTGCGGTACGAAGTCCACGACGCCTGACGGAAATGAAGTCTCGAGCTCTTTGATGTCGAATCCCCATGATTCACGACCCGTGGGATGATACCACAACGCGACGTCGTTTAGGATCTCGCACATTCCATACTCTATGGATACCTGCAAAACGTTGAAAAGGAGTGGGACGGGGCATCTGGTAAAAAGCGCCTAGCATTCCTTCCTTCTTATCTCAGCATATTGTTCTTTTGTATGAAAAAGGACTTTGTTGGAGTTTGAACTCCAAGTCTAACACGGAAAGAATATATTGCAATGCATCAAGAACTTTCAGCAAAACCCATGTGGATTAGGATGGATTACTCGACCTTGATTCTTGATGTTGATGAGTCAGCGGGATTGCCATCATCACCGACCACAACGTTCGGGCATCGTCTTCCGTTGAGAGACCGGCGATCAGTTCCCGTGCGGTCTCGACGCACTGTCGGAAGGGCGATGTGACGACCTGGTGGATCGGGAACCTGAGCTCGGCCCGGAGTTTCTTGCCGGTATCGAGCGCCTTGATCCGGCCCGCGTCGGCCAGCGGAGCGTCCCACGGCCTGGGCACCCTGGTCCACCAGGACCCGTCGACGCCTACGTCGCTGCGGTCGCCGTGCCGCATGACGAGGACGTGTTGGAAATGGCCGGGTAATCGGTCAGGTTCGACGGTGGGCGACATTGCAGCAGGCGAGTTAAGGTCGCGAGGCTGTGCGCTCATAGGAGCAGAGGGGAAGATGGAATGGAGAAGAAGGCAGAGAGAGGGCGAATTTTCATGAAAACAGAGTGGTGAGATTAGGTGAGTTAAGCATAAGATAACTGTTAAATATGTGTTGAATTTTATGTGCTCAGTCCGGTTTATCACCCGACCCGACATATTTTTTGTGCAACCCAAAAGTGGAGAAAACATTAAGATTTAGTTCTCGACGCGGAGGGTGACACATGACAAACAATCTTTGCTGCCCCGAGATGGGGAGCGGCTCCGTCAGTCGCCTTCCGTTCCGTGGCGGCGAGATCGCCACTGGTAGGCAGTGCTCCGCCTCGCTTGGGAACTCAGAGTTCTTGAAGTGCTCATTCAACGCCTCCAAACCTTCCTCCCAGAAAACCCAATTCTCATTTGGCATCCATGGCCTCAAGAGGCACAAAGAAACCGAAGAACAGAGTGAGATCAGAGAGAGAGTAACGAAAGAGAGAGAAAAAATCTGAAAAGTGGGCCTCACTCGCACACGTGGCGATCAATGAGTGGAGTTTCAATGCCTGCGTGGCAAGACTCGCCTACCTAACCCATAACGTAAGAACAACAACGTTAACATTTGCTATCACATCGCATACAGACGATGTTACTTAAGACAGCAGTTGATAACAGAACGACAAGGAGCTTCAACATGGAATCGCCAGGTCCAACCCTTTGAAACTCAGATACTACTAGTTCAGCTTCTTCAACAACTCAAATTACGTGCAAACAAAATGACAGTTGGAACAAATTTGAGATGAGGTAAGTTATGTCTCTAACAAGAGAATCATAAAAGAAATTAATTGCGTCATCGAACAACAAAAGCTCGGATTATCATGGCCTTACAAAGGGCATATCGTTGTTATTTTGTTTCAGTTCCGATTCTTTAGCTGTCCAAGTTCTGTTGCAGGTCTCCCATTGTCAATGGGATTAAAAAGGCCATGGAAGGCCGAGGAAGACGAGGTCCTGATCAATCAAGTGAATAAGTATGGCCCCGCGGGACTGGAGCTCCATTCGATTCGAACGCCTCCTGCAGCGCACCAGCAAGTCGTGCTGCCTCCACTGGATCAACAAGCTCAGGCCTTAATCTCAGAAAGTACGAACCTTTTTTCGCCTATATGGAATTATGCTCATGCCTGGATCGCGCGTTTCATAATCCTTGAATCGCTTTCTTATTCATTGTCGTGTTGTGTTGGGAGGAAACTAAGTAATTATTGATTGATGGCTTGTGATTTTCGTTCATTTCTCTTTCTGGGTTGTGCTTGTGTCCAGTGGTTGCAAATTCTCAGCAGAGAAAGACAGGTTCGTGATGCAGCCGCTGGCGCAGTTCGGGAACAAATGGGCGAGGATTGCGGCACACTTGCCCGAATGGACCGACGACAACATAATGAACTTCTGGAGCAGCAGGCAGAAGAGACTGGCCAGGATCCTACTAGCCTCGTCTTCCAAACAGCACGAGCACAAAAGGGAAGTCCCGCTTTTTCTCCATCACAATGTCCTGTTGTGGAGGTATAAATAATTCCACTCAATCACTAATAATCTTTGAACTCTGCTTTCCTTCCATTCTTGGCATCATTTCTTGCGAAATTTGCGGATTAATCGGTACTGTATTGGAGAGATTACGTTGTAGGCCTCGATATAGTGTAAGCGCGTCGTAAGCTCTAGAACTCATTCTTTTCTAGGTTCCCAAATCGTGCTCTTCAGCAAAGGAAGGGTCGACCTCAAGGGTTCGCTCACGTGCGTCGTCGTGCATCACCGATCCTCCACCACCGTCCAACCTGCCGAACCCTGGTTCGCCCTATCCTAGTGGCCATTTGGCTATGCACAAGTTCAACTCCAACGAGCTCCGAACCCCATATACAGATTCCTTTCCCTCACACACCGTTGCCGCAATTAAGCATCTTGTTCTTGCCCGAGAGCCACGAGCTCATGGCGAGGCCAGACGACCCCAACTATTTCAGCTTGCTGGGCCTCGAGGATGATGCTTTCGAGCTTGTGGACAAAGAGGGATTTCCTCCCGACATGCCCCTTTTCTAGGAAGAAGAACACTAGAAGTGCCAAATGTTGTATACGACGCTCACTTTAGTGTCAAAAGTTTTATTTGGATCACTTAAGTGCCAAATCGGAGAAAAAACAATCACTTAAGTGCCAAATTGGAGAAAAAACGATCACTTAAATGCTAATTCCGGCCAAATTGATTACGTGGTATTTATAATTAAAATTTTCAATATGACTTGGCAATTTTTTTAAAAAAAATCCAGTCCACGTAGACATCCAAAACGACGTTGTATAATCTGATTGACACTGAAGTGATTGGAGAAAAAACGATCACTTAAATGCTAATTCCGGCCAAATTGATTACGTGGTATTTATAATTAAAATTTTCAATATGACTTGGCAATTTTTTTAAAAAAAATCCAGTCCACGTAGATATCCAAAACGACGTTGTATAATCTGATTGACACTGAAGTGATCGTTTTTTAATAACGATTGGCACTGAAGTGATCACTTTAAACAAACTTTGGCACTTAAATGATCACTATTTACAACTTTTAGATGATGTCATTTATGGGTTATATGCTGACTGGGCACGCTGGCAAGCCACGTAGGACTAAGAAATTAATAAAATATTACCACGTCAGATTTCTGGCGATCCAGATCGGAGTTGGCACTTAAGCTATCGTTTTTTTTTAAAAGTGGCATTTAAGTTATCCGAAAAAACTTTTGACATTAAAGTGAGCGCCGTACACAACTTTTGGCACTTCTAATGTCCTTCCCCCCTTTTCTAGTCCTTCCTTGTGTTGTAAAATAAGAGACAGCATGATAGACAGGAATATGAATGTCTATTGAAATAATTTGTTATATTGTTAGACATGAAAAGAGCTGATCGTTGGATATGAACATAAGTGATTATTGACATGAAAAGAAGCGATTGTTGATCATGAAAGTGGTGATAGTGAGGATAAAGTACCTATTTTCAAAAGATGTGTTGATTGATTGTTCGTAAATACGACCAAATCATATATTATTCATAACACGTGTTCAAGAATAGCAACCCTCTTCTTCATTACTCTCTACTCTTCATTATATTCTCTCTTACTGTCTCTTTTCACGCACAAGTTTGATAGCACATTTAAGGTAAAATTTCAAGAAAGAAATCGAGTAATTGCTGAACTTGTTTCTCTGTCGCTTTGGTGTATATTTTGGAAGTATATT